TATAAAATAAATTGATTGATTGATTGTGCACAGCAAGGTTTGCTTACATCATCAAAGCCCCTCCTCTGCCTCTGCGAGGAAAGCTGCATATATAGGTAGTCCTCTACAGGCTCTAGATCTTGGAATTGAGCGCAGGCCCGCAGGCCCAGGGCTAGCATCGCCGGTGAATCCCCATGTCTAGCTGGTATCCTAGCCTTAGCCTTAGGCTTACATAGGTCTTCAGTAGCCTCCTAGGGATCTTTGTTCTGCAACGAAACAGGGCGGCAGCCTGTCCTGTCTTTCTGACGGAGATACCTAAGGAAAGCCACCACAGCGTGGTCCGCACTTTTCTTTGGATCAGCTTGCTAGGTCCGTCTGTTCTCGGCATTGATCAGTGGGGCGCCGTCCCTGCAATTCCCTCTAGAAATGAAGCCCCCCCGGCAAAATCCCGGGTCTGCTCTGAAGAAATGGGGGGCCGCTGCGACGGTGCTGACCGGCCTTTGCCTGCTCATCCTTTTCTTGACCTCCTCTAAGCACAACGAGACAGCTGTCCAGATCCGGCAGACAGCTGTCACCTACCTGGGCGGGCAGGCAACCTCAAATTCGAAGCCCAGCTTTAACATAGATCCGTACCCATTCATGGGACCGATCGTGTGGAGCGCGATCCACGCCCGCATGCAAGCAGAGTACACAATGAATGGCGCGGTTCCTGTCACAGAAGCGTTCTACAATGACTATGTGCCAGACGCTTCGCTTCCGGTCTGGTCGACCGACACGATCAACCAGTGGGTCGGGCTCGTACAGGCAAAGTCAACTGACTTCGGCACGTATGGCAAGCAAGCGATTGCTGACATCATGTCGGCATTCGATGCGCACCCTGTCAAGGGTAAAACGGTTCTGGTGGTGGGAAGCATCACTCCTTGGGCGGAGGCAATCGTCATAGCCTATGGAGCGGCACAGGTGTACACTGTTGACTTTAACAAGCCAATTTGCGACGATTTTAGGATCATAACCATGGACATTGCGGAACTAGACGCGAGCACAATGACGTACGATGTCGTGCTCAGTTTCTCGAGTCTGGAGCACGATGGGCTGGGCAGGTTTGGGGACCCTATGCACCCGCACGGGGATATAGAAAGGGTGAAGCGGATCAAGACGCTTGTGAAGAAGGACGGCGGGCTGTTCTTCTTGGCGGTCCCCACGGGGAAGGACCACCTCGTCTTCAATGCACACAGGGTGAGACTTCTCCTCATTTTGTTCAGAATTGGAACATCCATTTATTGCTTGCGATCCAGTGGAGTGTTTTTCTGCTTCTTTGCCAATTTTTCCTGGCTGAGGATTCTGCGGTGAGAGCAGAGAGGGTGAGAGATTGAGCACTATTCCTGAGCACTCACTCGAACGTTCTTCCGGAGACTCGGTAGAGCAGTGTGTGAGTTGTCTGGGCCAGCTTTTTCCATGATGATTTGCCTGTCTGTATCAAAGACACACCCTGTAATCTGGAGCCCCAGCCTCTTTGTTCGGACATAGGAGTGTAACGCCATGATGGCATAGTGCAAATTATCTTCAGGGTGGAGGTATTTCTCGCCCAAATGTCACTGGTTTCCGTGTTGAGGAGTTTGAAACCCTCTGTGCAGAAGCCAGTCTCGGTGCTCCATTACTGAGTGGATTGGCAGTTTCTCGTTGGAATCTGTCTAATGTTGATTGTTCGAAATTTGAGGAGCAGAAGAGTATTGTTGTGTGAACCTTTAACAACTCTGTCTGCCTCGGTTAGCTCTTCATGCTTTTGAAGTATGTCCAGACCCTATTGACAAGACTGTTTCATAAGTTGGGTACAAGATCTGGGATCTGTGGATGTCTCTGTCGAGAGTGATTCCAATTTACCAAGGCTGCTGGGGCTTACCAAGCAAGTCTTCAAAGCGCCGCTGATTCCTTCAAAGCCAAGCCCAAACATTCAGTGATTTGGAGATAGGTTTCTGCTCATTCAGGGCTCGGCTTGAGTGTTAAGAAGCCTTTTGATTGTCAAGTGTAGCCGGATGAAGTGATCAAGTTTGCTGTTCGTTATAGAAGCCTGACATCTAGAGCTGTTTGGGTTCAAGAGGTCACGATTGACTTTGTCTCAGGCTTTTGGTTGTTTCTTTGTGTTTAGGTTTGTACGCTTGTTAACCCTTGATTTTTGTACGTAGTTCCAGGTCGAACTTCGTTTCAGGCGGTGGTTGTGCAAAACGTTGGACTGTTAAAACGTCTTAGTAAAGTTGGGGGGTTCCCGTTTTGCGGAGGCCTGAGAAGTCCGCTTTTGTGTAGTCCACTTGTAGTCTGGCATAGAAAAGATCGCCAGAAGGTCCCACCCAATTGATTTGTTCGTCGCCATGTTGGAGCCACCTTGAGTGGCAGCTGATAGCAAAGCTCGCGAGACGTAGAAGAAATACCCCTCCAATAAGTCAGCGTGCTTCGTGATGAGCGCCCAAGGCTCCTGTTCATGTTCCAAAATCTCATGCCCAAGGGTTTTGCATTTGCTGACTTCCCTCTGCTTGTTCAGGTGCAAATATTGCCCAAATTTTGTCGCCTTGTCTCTAATTCAAACCTTAGCAGACTACTCGAATAACCACTCTGTTTCGGAGGCATCGTTTAGTGGCTTTTGTTGTCCGCTCCTTCAAAAGATTATATTCCTTCTTTTTTCCTTTGTCGTCCCTTGGGGGCCATTTTCCGCCAGTTTGGCAGGCTTCGTACGGAGCCTGAACCAAACAATATTTTGACCCGTTGGGCGCTTCTTCGAAAAGGCAGCTCGTTCCGTACCTTTCAGAACGCCATCAAAACCTTTTTGGAAGATATTCGTACCTGCTGAAGGTCAAAATGAACGACTCGTTTGAAGGCTTTCCGTACCTTTCTCGAGGCACACTCGTCTGATTCTGCGCGCACAGGTGTAGGGCCATAAACGGCCGGCGTTGGTATTCGAAAGCAGAGACCTTATATGGGGATCTAACCGAAGGCCTTCCGTATCTTTCTGGGCGCTGATTACAACTTCCTGGAGGTTGTGTTGAACGACTATTCTGAAGGCGCTTTGCACCTTTTTGAAAGTCACGATCGTTTGATTCTTCGCGCGCAGGTAGACGGCCGAAAACGGCTAGCTCTGCTCTTTGAAGGCTGGGAGATCATAGGAAGTTGATTGAAGACTGTATCTTTTTGCTTCAACTATCTGAGGGCTAGATTGGACTTCTCTTTGTAGGGCTCTTCGTTTGTTTCTAGAGGCTACAACCGTGTTTCTCTGCGCTTGCAGGTGTACGGCCGAAAACGGCTTGCGCTCCTGTTTGAAGGCTGGGAGGTCATGGGGATCTACGACGACAAGACATACTCGGAGTCCGTGTGGGACTCCCCGTACACGTGTACAAACGTGGCGGAGCCGTGCCCGCAACCAGTCCACGTTTTGCGGCTGCTATAGCCGCCCCGGCCTTATATCAGACCGCTTAGAAATGTAGACAAGGCGGTTAAGCTAATTGCCGCATGTGGACTCGTAGCGTTGGAAGCCGCTGCGCAAGATGTTGCTAACATATAAGCAGACTCGCAAGTTGATTGACTCGAATGTGATGGGGCCGCACGCACCGCACGGCAAAGCTGGATCATGCTTGACTTAGGTTACATCGCCGGTCACTGGCCGTTCAGTTTTCCTCTGTTTAATAGCTGGCCGTCATGGCAATTCGACAATCATATTAATACTTCAATTACCGAAGGCGGACGTTTTACAGTCATGCCCGCGCGGCTGTTCGATTACAACATATGCACTCCACATGACACCGCCGCTAGGACTTGCCGCCCACTGATCAGTGCATGATCGATGTGCCATGCACAAACTTGTTGCAAGAATGTTCTTCGAGTACATTCATGTTTTGGGTACGTATGCATGAGCTGGCAGCCGTGCACCGGCCAGCCCTCCAGCAGCACTGAGCAGACCATGTATTTCGAGATGGGCCGCCACGCTGGTCGGCCTATGGCGCTGTAGTTTTGCATAAGGTACGTAAGCCACTATATTGGCCGAGCCGAATCGCAAGAAGTCACCTTTAAGCCGTTCAGCAACGATGATCACTGAGCGACAGATCCAGTTCCTTGATTAATTGAAGCAATTCTGAATCTCGGCTCAAATATCTGTTCAAACCGGCTGAGTCCATCCGACGTTTCAATTTGCAAAGTAGAACGCGATTCGAATGAGCGCGCTCATGCATACCAACTTTACGAGTCGGACGGGTGCAAAGCCTGTGTTGTCCGATCGAAGCCTCTTGAAGACCAATATCTGGAAGGTTCTTGATCTCCATGCGAAAGCCGGCGAGAGTACCATGCGAGAATATATTTGCGCTTGTGGGCTACAACGACAGTCTGCGCTTCATTCGGAAAACAGTCGTACTATGATTTTCAAAATCGAACTGTTGCCCTTCTAGGCCATACTAGTACACCGACGTTGAAAGCTGAGCATCGTTGGAAGGCGGAATGAAAAGGATGTTAGATCAATCAAGGCACTCTGTTCACTTCGACATTCTAACGAAGGAGCTATGGCCTTGGAAATGCTGTCGGTGGGAGCTCTTCACAAAAGGTTTCCTCAATTGGCACGAAGCCATGACACGTTTCGATGTATGAAGCTTTCTCAATCTGCGTATGGCATCACTAGGTACGTTTATCATTCGACCTAGCTATCTCACAGTATTGGTGGGCTTTCTGCGACGACGTTAAGCACTTTCGCTACTTTCTTAACGTCACAGATGTGCCCAAATGTGTTGTCAAAAGTTTCTGCTAAGTGACTGCGCCTGCTTATCAATACAATTCAAATCTAGAGTGGAAGAGCGTGCTTGCAATCCAAGGGCAGTCTGAGTGCGGTGCTGTGCAGCATTAAACTGGTTTCTTGCCAGCGGAACCAGCGTGAGACGAGGAGTCGCCGAAACGACATCTGACATTCATGATGGATCGTCGCCTCTCGAATGTGCACTCATCACTCATCTAGCGCTTCTCGGAAGCCTGGCATGTGCATTCTGCGTGCGGAAGGCGCCGTGCATGCATTCGGTAAAGTTACACCAGACGGGGAAAAGAGCGCGGGTTACGGAAGGTTGGTTAACGTTCCGGCCTAACTCTAAGGAACTGCTTACGAATGCAATCTTTCCTGTGGGACCTAGAATAACTTCCAACCAACCGTGGGTTATGCCCTCCTTGAGCAAGGTGTGTTGATGTTAGATGATCCTTCACAAAGCCTGGTCGTCGAGAGGGCACCGATTTTCCCATGCATGCAAATTTGCGTTTCGGTGCAACCTATGCATGGTTTTCCGAGTCCATGACACAGCTCAAACAGTGCATGCAAATGCACGGCGCCGTTGCCGGCGGCGTCGTCTGTCAGAACCATATGGTACGACGGCAAAAGTTGGCGCCGCAAGCGACACGTGCAAGTGTAAGAACTGAGACATGGGGGCAATCACGTGGGCTACGTCGCCCCATCTGAACGAAGAAGCCGAGATTTGCACAGCTTTAAAGGCCATGTCGCGTGATTTGCCAAGATGCTCGCGCAAAGTGGCGGCGCTTTATCGCTCACGTCTGCGCTCGCTTAGAGTGCCTGTGATCTGCGCATGTACAACTACTCTATAGCGCCTCAGTCCGGTCAGGGAAGAAAGCCTGTGGGCCCTTCGGAGAGACGCATGGGTAGGTATGCACGTTTCATCTCATGAAACATAATGCCATCTTCGGTCACGCCACAGGAAGGACTCGGAGTACGTGCATGATGAGCATGCCCACAAATTCTTCTGAATGCATCACTGTGGGGGGTCCAGGGAGACGAACTTGGCAGCTGAGCGCAACGTTCTCGCAGACTGATCCTTCTTAGCTGCTGAGACAGGGACTTGGACGTTGCCTGCAGCTTAAAGACAAAGCTCTTCTTGCACCTTTCCTTCCTTCCTCTCATCGTCTCTGGTAGCTGTCAGCAGACCGCCCCCCAAGCAGCTCTTTCAGGGCTGCTTCTCACCAGCTCGCGTCGTTCTTCATTCCTCACCTCCTTCGCACCCGCCATCTGACGTCAACCTGACGCCATGGACGACCTCGCGCGCACCATGTGCGCGCCCCGCCCTCAGCGCCGGGCATTCGTGAGCTTCCTCCTGGGCGCGGGCGATTACGTCAAGGGGGTGGTCGCGCTCGCTAAAAGCCTGCGCGCGGTTCGAAGCGCGTACCCCCTGGTCGTGGCGGTCACGGAGTGCGTCCCGCTCGCGCACAGGAAGCTGCTGGCGCGCGAGGGGTGCGCGGTGCGCGAGATCGAGAAGGTGGCGCCGCCGGGGGGGTTCAAGTTCGCGCTGGACTACTACGCGGTAAACTACTCGAAGCTGAGGATCTGGCAGGTGGGTTGGGAAACAAAAAGACGGAAAGGGGAAAGTGTGCACGTGTGAGATTTGTGTGCACTTTGCGATCTTTTCAACGACGATGGATCCTACTTGAAGGTTTCCGTCTTTCATCGGGATTTCTCCGGAGGTAGCTTGTTCAAAAGGTTTTAGCTTTTGTCCAGAGCTGGTGGACTCTATCCTCGAAAATTTGTCGTTTGGGCGGTACTCGAGCCTTCAATTGATTGGGTTTCTGTTCGGACTCTCTGTTTCTCCTTGGAATACAAGTGTCTTCTTGAAGCTTGGAGCTATCTGTGTTTGACCTTCTGAATCTTGTTCGTTCGACATTCTGCTTCTTTTACGATCGGTGGATTTGCAGCAAGTGCTTGACTTCAAGAATACATGTTCGATGGGCTATGTGGCCACAGAATGCGCTCACGAGCTACTTTCAGTCAGATTCGGATCCTCACCGAAGTGGTGGCAGGGCTTCTGGTCAAGTGAGTAGATTTGAAGAATTGCCACGACATGGATCCGGGCTGAATGCATGGTTGAAAACAAAGCCAATGAAGCAATACCTTTTCTTGACGGGACATGGAATGCGTTCTCAGCTTTGAGTTTTAAAGCCCTCACTTCAAAACTTCATTTGCTAACACGTCTCTTTCACATTTACGTGGCACGACCTTATTGCGTGGTACCTTTTGGATCGCAACCTCCCGACGTTATCCTTCTGAAAACTTCGCTGAATCAAAGTCCATGTAAGTCCTGTCCAGACCAAACAAAAGATACTCCCAAAAGATTGCAAGGAGCCCAAAGTACCACTTGTTTGCAAGTAGTTTATGAGGAATCATGCACGAGCTTCGGGCTCTGCATGCAGTTGACGTTGAGTCGTTGTGCAGATGCTGAGTCAACAGACCCAGTTGTCTGGCCTTTTCGGCTTCGCGGACTCGAGCAACCGGCAAGCGCATCTCCAGCGTTGTTCCGCTTTTTGCCCTTACTGACGTTTTCGATGGGGGGGGTCAAACGAGCGTTGAAAATATGACATGGGGAGAAGTCGATTTGTCTGGGGCTTAGCTGGGATTTCACAGATGCTCTTATCTCAGGCTTCCGTTCGTATCTCGTCAATACGGACCCTTGTTTGACGGCTTTGCTAAGAAGTCAGAGTCTATAAATTTTGTGACTGAAAGAATACTCTACTTATCCGTTTGGGATCGGAATGGAAAGTGGTGACCGCAGAGGATTACACTTGTTCATCTTGTTGGAATTTATGCAGACAGGCAGAGTATTAATTTGTTCCAAAACGTGTCGTTCAGCTATCTTGACTGAATCGTGAGAATCCTTTTATTAATCCGATTCGACATTTTCGCATCTACTTTTGCTCCCGCTCAATAATCGCGCTGGAGCATCGTTCAGGCCAAGTCCAAGTGGAGGGAAATTGGTCTTATCGGTCTCCTTCGCGCTTCTAGACGTGCTTTGACCGCCTATCTAGGTTGCTTTCTTCGTTCTTCCAGTCATATTCTACAACGTGGAATGAACCTGTTCCAATTTTCTCCTTGCAGACTGAATACCACCACCAGATCCGCGGCCTTCCGCTTCCGCTGCTTGAAATCCGTTCAGATCGCAGAGGAAGTCCAGTCGGACCGTTGCTCGCGCTTTGCGGAGTGTTATGTGCTACCGTCCATTTTTCCTCTGTGCAGTTTGAGGAGTTCGACAAGCTGATCTACCTGGACGCGGACATGCTGCTGTTCCAGAACATCGATGAGCTCTTCGACAGTCCCCCGGGCACCGTCAGCGGCGTTATGGACTGCTTCTGCGAGGGTGAGGCGCCCGGTTCGTTTCAACTGACCACTTAAGCCTATGTAGAACGCCCGCCACTATTTGCAAAACAGCCACCCTGCCTAAATCGGGGTGCTTCCGTCCTTTCCATATCTCGTCTCGCTTGAATTGAGATGGGCGGTTCCACGCAAAAGTGAGCCGTTAAATTTGCTGCTTCTTGAAACAGTTTGCATGCCGGCCAGTCGCAAGCTGGGTAGACGACAAGTCATTCCGGGTCCCCTCTTTAACGATAATGCTGAAACCGCTTCAGGCAGAGGACACTTGATGAACTTTGACGCTCCTCTGCTCACGAGCCGAATCTCTACTTTTCTTTGGTGCCCGGATCCATAAGGAAGCCTCCGATGAGTTCGTACGACGCTCCCTCGTCCTTGACTCGTGCCACGTGGTGTCAGCTCCTGCAGCCACGTGGAGCCAGTGCCTGGTCCAGTACAAGATGGGCTACTGCCAGCAGGCGCCGCACAAGACGGCGTGGCCCGCGGACGTCCCCAAGCCGCCGCCCTACTTCAACGCAGGGCTGCTCGTCTTCGAGCCCAGCGCAGCGATCTTCAAGTGAGTTCCTGAAAGCTCTGATCCGCTTTTGAAGAGACTGTAGCATTGATCGAAGGTAGTTCTCCTTGAGTTATCTGCAAGCGACTCGAACATCATCTGGGCGAGATTCCGTTTCCTGGAGTGGACCCGCGATTTGTTTCCTGGAGTGGACCCGCGATTTGTCAGGTGGAAAGAACGTCAAAGGCCCGTATCGAGAGCTGGCTGCCGTTGTTGTATCATCGAAGCGGATTGAGAATCCGCCCTCGACTGGGGTGAGATAGAGAGCGAACTGTAGCTCGAGACTTCCTTAGACGAGCGAACAGTTTCGTTGTGGAGGAAAGAGATAGCCAGGATGTCTTCGACATAATGGGACTTAGAAAAATCAGTGCATCGCTTGAATTCTCACCAAGGGAAGAAGTGGACGTCCTTCGCGTCGTCCTTTGAAGACTTCTGTGCTTGTAGAAAGCCCAAATTCTCCTCCGGCTAATGGGAGAGAAGCGCCGTCGCCAGCATTGGCGGTGGGCTGAGCTTTGGCAGAAGCCGATACAGGACAATGGACAAAATTATTGCAACTGATGGCAGAGAACGCATCCCTCAAGGACTGCTGTGAAACAATACATCGATACGTCGTTTTTCTCTGTGTGACTCCATTCCGGCCTTCCGCTGACACACCTTCTTCTCCAGGGACATGATGAAGAAAATAACGGAGTGGCCGCCGACACCGTTCGCGGAGCAGGACTTCTGCCATCCTCGCTGTTGCCGTCATTTTCGCTGTGTAACTCCGTTCCGGCCTTCCGCTGACGTCATAACTCCTCCTCTCCAGGGACATGATGCAGAAAATAGTGGAGTGGCCGCCGACGCCGTTCGCGGTGCAGGACTTTCTGAACCGGTACTTCGACCGTTCTCGCTGATGCCTTTGGCTTTGCTTGAGCCCATTCCGGCCTTGCGCTGATTCCGTTGACGTCACACAGGGACATGATGAAGAAGATAGCGGAGTGGCCGCCGACGCCATTCGCGGAGCAGGACTTTCTGAACCGGTACTTCGAGGGCGTGTACCGGCCGCTCCCGCTGTGCTACAACCTGGTGCTGGCCATGCTCTGGCGGCACCCGGAGAACGTCGGCGACGTCAGCAACGTCAAGAACGTGCACTACTGCGCAGCGGTGAGGTTTCAGTCCTGATCGTTTCTGAGGACGAGACTGTTATTGCTCGATGGAACTGCGCAGCGGTGAGGCTGAAGTGCCAGCTCGATCGGTTTGAACGACCTTGGCAAGGTCGGAAACGTGCGTTCCTGCGCGCCGGTGAAGGGACACCACGACTGAGGTGCTGTGTCCACCTCGCTTCTAGCAGCTTCGAACTGTCCATCGTCGCCCAGTCGCCGTGACATCAGCATCTGAAAGCTCCCCTTTGCCACGTGGCAGGGCTCCAAGCCGTGGAACTTCGAACCGGACGCGCCGTACATGGACCTCCCGGACGTCCGCCGCTTCGTCGCCCATTGGGTGAAGATCTACAACTCGGAGTCGCATTCGAGCCCGGCGCACCTTTTCGAGTCGCGCGACGCGGCCGCGCGCGCGCAGGCGAAGGCGCGGCCCCTGGCCGCGGTCGCGCCCGGAAACCTCCTGGCGAAGGGCATCACGGCATAGTAGTCGTCTGGAAGCGCGGCGCCGCGCGCGCGAAGGCGGAGGCGCCCTCCCGGCCGCATACGCGCAGCAAAAGGCTTTTGTTGGCCCGGGCCAATCAGAATGTTTGGCCGTTCAGGATCGGAGCTAGGTTTTAGTGCGGTGCTCACGTAGGAGGTGAAGCCATGGAACCTAATATCCTACTAGTTCTACAGCTTTCGGTTTTCAGGGCCGCGCTACTCAAAAGTTTTGGTAATCGCTTAGCAGGTGTAGGGCCTCTGAGGTCAGCCCATAGACGGCTAGTACATGCGCGCCGCGCTGCGTAGAAAGTACGGGCGGTCAAAGTGGGAAAAAGTTAGAAGGCTCGAGAGCCCACTTAAAACCTAGTCCGAGTCAAAGGTGAAACGCCCGGCTCGAACCTTTAACATGGTCAGGTCGACTGTCGAAGCAGCATAGGTTAGATCGATAATCTGTAGTGAAGCCATCACTAATAGGCCGCTACGCGTTCGAGAGGGGAGCCTGTCAAGGCTAGCGATGGAGCGAGGAAGTGTCGTGGTTCCGAGAAAGAGACGCTTGACTTGTAGCTTGCGGAGCTAGTACGACATTCCGGACGCGCACAAGATCCAACGATTATGGCTTCGACCGTTGGCACTGAGTCCAGTGGCCGAGACATGCAAGATCTTGTATACAAGGGTTCCGGTTGGATTTGGCTCTATGAAAGTACGAGGGGTCGTGAGTCGGCAAGAGAGATGGCGCGTGAGAAGTAATATGGGAATTGTGTATCTTTCTTCGCTCATTCCTTTATGACAATTGCTGATACATAGACGTAACATCAAACTCGTAACATCAAACACTCCGGGTCGAAGGCTCGCTTGAGTCCTACTTGGAAGGCTATCGAGCGCACAGCTTCATCTGCGCCTCTCCATGCTTTTCCTGTCGGGTGATTTGTCCAGCCACCAGTTCACTCGCATCCGCTGAATTGATTCCTGAGGCATGGAGTTTGCATTTGTGTCACGCCATTTTATTGCCACGGTCTCTAGACGTTGTCATGGGACAAAAGGATTCAGTAACAACGTCGTGATGTTGATTAAATAGAACTTTACAGAAACTAGAATGCAAGCGGTATCGTAGCCAGAACTCAAGACTACAAGAGTCAAGACTCCCAATGAAGGGTAATTCAATGTTGGATTGCGGTGAGCTTCTTAAAATTTTGAAGCATGCAGTTTGCATTTGTCTCATGACCCACCACATGCGCCACGTTCTTTGTCCGTTGTCGTTGGTAACACTTTTAATGGCAACGCGTATCGTCAACACGACTTCACAATCTCACAGATCCTAGAAGACTAGAATGCAAGCGGTATTTCAGCCAAATCAAGGCAAAGTCTGAGAAGCTCCGATTGAAGTGATCCAACATGACTGGAATGCAATACGCTCCGATCTTCCTACACGAATTGTTTGAGCGGGCCTGATATCAAGACGTCAAGGTTATAAAATACCAGTGCGTATATACGCTCTGACTCAGCTGTGCATATTGACATTCACTTTTATGATTGGCTCGTGACGTTGACAAGCCGGTTGACTCCGGCGGATAATAGGATCTGACTGGAGCGGACAATCACAAACGCGATAAGATTCAGAATCAAGATCGTGCAATCCTTGGAGGAGCGAAATCCATTTGTGGGCCACTTGTAGAAGCCGCCCGTCGGAGGCTTATGATTTTCGGAGCAACCTGAGAATGCTTTCGACCCGTCCGATCGCACGTAGTGATTCTGATGAGATATAAGCTGTCGATGTGATCGAGGGCTTTGTCCTAATCGACGGCACAAAGACATGCTGGTTAATCGACGGCAGACGTCGGTCGTACTGCCCTTACGAGTTTTCAAACGCCTTCAGGCTTGAAGAACGACCCAGAACTGCAGCTCTCGCTCAAGACGTTGCACTGTGGGTGGCATCCTCTGCAATTTGCAAGCACAGCACACTGTGAATCCGATCGTTTTCAAAGAAGCAAGAAAGCATTGAAATGTGAACGGACTCGTGCAGTTCACATTCTTCAGAATTTTGCAAGCATGGATCGCCGCGGGGCCTCGCTAACCGCCTTGGCCCTCATTCTTCTTGTCTGCAACAATGCATTCCTGGCGCATGCTTATGAAGCAAAAAGCAGGCCCGCAGTGAACATCCGCAAGGGGCTGGCTTTGGGACGGACAGCATCTTACTTTGCTGCTGCTGGTGGTGAAAGCTTTCCCCCCGCACCTTTGATGCCAATCCCAAATGCAAGACAGGTGCGCTGCAAACTAAGCTATGTATTTCCGAGTGTCTGGCTGGAAGGATGCACATAGATGGCCTGGTCTTACTCCCACTCATCTACCTTGATTGGTTACCAGCTGTGTGGCAATTTCACTATCTTTAAAGTTTGAAAATTTGATTCACTTTTTACACTAAAGACCATAATTTCTGCTCTTGTTGATAATAAGCCTTTGCCGCATGTTTTGGACTGCAATTCAAGCAAGCCTGGATTACTTGCTTTCATTAGCAATGTGCAGAGCTGCAGCTGCGAGCTCCAAGTCTCCACAAACTAGTGGTATACTGTGATAACATTTGAGAACAGCAGTGCTCATTGTGGAGACTGTAGCTGGCAAGAATCTCCTTTCCAATGTCTCAGGATAGGAAGAAGCTGTGTCTCAAACAGCTGATGCTTCTGTCGTGATAGCAGGCCTGCTTTTATTGCTGCGTTCAATCTGACTGCGAAGAGCAAGCTGAAGATTCTGGCCCCACAATGGGCATCAGCTTTGATACACTTCTTATTTCTTGCTTCCAATCAGCCAGGGACTGGGACTCACCCTATATTCTTAAGCAATGATTATCTAGCCTAAATTGCCAGAAAGTTCTCATCAGCATTGACATACAAATGTCTGATTTATCTAACATGATTCAGGCAGTCTACAGTCCTGAGCAACATAAAACCATCAAAACATGTAGGGGAGAAGTCTCAGAGGAGCAGTCACTTTCTCTGCAGTTGAAGTGGGAGCGAGGGGAACTTTCCATGTTCCTCCACTTTGGCATCAACACTTTCCACGACGTCGAGGTTGGGAGCGGGATGGAGGATCCCGCTTCCTTCAACCCCACAGAACTCAATGCAACACAATGGGCGGAGGCCGCAAAGCATGCTGGCTTCCAGTTTGTTGTCATAGTTGCAAAGGTGAAGTCAATCCTGAATTGGTTTTTCGCATCGCTTACTTTTGCAAAAAGTGTTTTCGCATCGCTTACTGTTGCAAAAAGTGTTTCTATGAGGCGCCGTGGGAGGGGCATCTGACATCCCTTCTGATGTGGGATCAGGCGCCTTGAAATCAGGTTGAAGCAAGGGCAGTAATGGCGTCTTTGCTTATGGCTACATCTTTTGACATGTTCCTTTCTCTCAGCTGTGAGTTTCTCAAAACAATGACAACTGACAACTTCGTTGTTTGGTTGCTGCGGCCAAGTTCAGATTCGAAAATGCCTGCTTACATTGACAAAATCTGGTGCTGTCAGGATCTTTTGGTTGACTCCTAATGCTTTCTTCCATGCTTCTTTGCTCCCAATCCATCTCACAAAGCTGGACAGAAGATTAGGAAGTAGTGGTTTTGTACGCCTTCATGTTTCAAACGCCTTCATCTTTCGAACGTAACAAATACTCGCCCCCCGGTTTTCAGAGTTCAGTGGTCCTCAACAGTTGAGCTCATGGCCTTACAAGCAGCTACTCTTTGTCGAAGATACTCTATTTCGTTAAACATATATCTTCAGGCTCAAGGTGACATTTGTTTGGAGTCCCTAAAATACAGATACCTGCCAGTCAAAAGGCAGAATCTTTGATGTCTGTCCTCAAAAGCCCCGGGGTCAATACCCATCCAATGACGCCACCCCCAGGTGACTGGCAGCCCCTTTCGGGGGGCAGCAGGATTGGGTGCCCTACAAAGTCATACATTTGCAGGAAAACATTGGGGAACCCGAAAACGTTGAGAACTTTACAGATGTGCAGCAACGGTTACTGCAACTGCCTTTCAATCACACAACCCATTTGACCGCCGCCAGGCCCTTTGGTGAGAACAAGGGCCGACGTCATCGGCTGGCAGAATCAGAAAGTCTTCTAATCCATATGCTTCTCTGCAGCACCCCGATGGCTTTTGCAACTGGCCGTCCAAGTACACCACGCACTCTGTAGCGGCCAGCCCCTTCCGTGGGGGTAAGGGCGACGTGGTGCGCGAGGTCTCGGATGCCGCGCGCGAGGTGGGGATAGGATTCGGGCTGTATTTAGCCCCCTGGGACAAGCACGAGCCGACGTACGGGAACACGAGGCTGTACAATGAGTATTACATGGGCCAGCTGACCGAGATAATGTCAGAGTGAGTTACCGCACTGCAATTACCATTCGCTCCACGCTGGTGCGAACAATTCAGATTTGATAGCTTTTGTATTTTCGCACCGACTCTCGAGGACATTTTGAGCTTATTGCAGAAGACCTTGTTTTGTTTTTCCACACTCCTTTTTTATATATCTTTTCTTCGCATGTCGTAAGATGGTAGGTTGGTTTTGTCGCAGCGGCCTCTGAATAACCAATAATTGTAGTGCAAATGGGAATGGCAGTAAGGTAAAGAAAGTAGGGTGTTGTTGCCGACGAAACCGAGATTGTGGTCCCAACTCCTAGTCAAAAAGAAACTAGTGAAAGGAGACTATTTACATGGTTTACGTCGGTTTCGGCAGGCTGAAGAAGGCAGGTGCTGCCCCTTGCCTCGGTATGTTGATGCTAACGGAGGTACACAAAGGGTGCACGAGTCGGTCCTGTAAGAGGACTGAAGTTGATGCTCTTAACGAACCTTTGTCTTAGTGGAGAGCACGCAGGAGAACGACGAAAGATGCAGTCCTTTCGAGACGATCTCCTGGATTTGAAGTGGCAGCATAGAGCCAAAGCGATTTTGACTCTTCTCAGTCGGTATGATTTTTGAACAATTCTCTCGTAGAGCTTCGCTTTATGCCATCACACGTTGGAAACCTTCGAGAAGCTCCACGATTGCTCAATTCTGAGTAGATTGCAGAGATCATTTGGGGTTGGCTTCACGTGCAGACTGAGGTCCAACTACTCGGGGGATCTCGTCGATTGGATGTTTTTTTTTTTGACGAAAGAATTGCAACTTGGAATCTCCGGAGAACGTAAATGCGGCAGCGTGTCTTTGTTTGCAGGTACGGCCCAGTAGAGTACATATTCTACGATGGCGCGAAGGAGGGGGGGCCTGAAATGCAATACCACTTCGACCAGATCTTTGCGCTCAACCACGAGTTGCAGGTAAGAATGCAGCGCTTCTCTGGAGGGAGTGACTCAGGCAGAGTGCGCTTTGAAGGATTCCCGAGAAGAAGCTGAGAAGTGCGTTCGTATCCTTGGGGTTCTTGGAAGTATTGTCGAAGCATCTTTCGGAAGGAGGGCAAGACGAGTTCTCAGAAGGTACCGACCCGGATCTTTGGACGATGACACATGGAATAGTTCTGCTTTTCGGCAGTATTATTACATAACCTTTGTATCGCAAACACACTTTAGGCAATGACACGGCTGCTGGCAATCTATCTATAATCCAAGCTCGAGTCGTACAGAAGGCTTGAGCAAGTTTTCAACCAGCCGCATTCGACAGCGGCCCTCTCCACTTGGGAACGATCAAAACGTGTTAAACGACTTTCGAAATGAAGACGTCTGCTTCTTGCTTTCTCGTGCAGCCGACGTGCTCCATCTTCTCGGACAACGGCCCGGACGTCCGGTGGGTGGGCAACGAGGCGGGGTGGGCCGGAACGACCAACTGGGCCACCATTGACCGCAGCAAGGTGGGCGCGCTTCTTACGACCGGAACCGTCCGCTTATACTTAAGCAAAAGGAATAGAGCTTCAAGGAAGGATTTTGCTTGCATTCTTTCATTCTTGCTTGAGCTGCCTCTGTATGAAGGAGAAGCTTTGTCATCGTCGTTCACGGTTGATCACGCCCTTGCAGCTAAGTTTTCGGAACATGGAGACCCCCCTGACTTCCCCCGTGTCTCGGTCACCCCCCATTGCTACTTCTTACAGTCTCAGCTGACCTTCGAGATCCTGGCTGACCCTTTACCATCCTCAGACCTCGGGCTAGCGCTGATGAAAGTCTCGTTCAATTCATTGGAGTCGTACAAAACCTGAGGTAACACCCAACAACATCCAGAACAATATCCTAAGCTCTCTCGACCATCCGACATAAGGGACTCTATACTTTGCCAACCCGGCTATCTTCTCCGCTAACCTTAGGGTTCTCCGCTCGCTTTTACCAGGTCCCCATCGCCAGCGGCTACACCATGCCCGAGAATCTGTAAAAAGACCTTTTAAGAAGGCTCGTACACAGACGGAGATAGTATTGAACTACACTTCGGCAACCACTCGTAACTACTCTGGACCACCTTCTCCGTCCAGGTCCCCATCGGCAGCGGCTAGCCATGCGCGAGTACCCCGCGAAAAGAGGCAGGTGCACAGCCGGAGATGCAGGGAAACCACACGTCAACCACTCTTCACTTTTTTGTACCACTTTCTCCGCCCAGGTTCCGATCGGCGGTGGTTACACCATGCGTGCGTACCTGGCCTCCGGCGAAGAGGGCGCCCCCGACTGGGGCATCTCCACTTTTTCCCGTCCTTCAAAAGGAACCCTTCGCTTCGACCTCAAGCAAGATCTCCTTACCCGCGTACTTTGTCGACCGTTCACCTAAATCTCTGCCCAGGTCGCAATCGGCGGCAGCTACACCATGCCGCGTACCTGGCCTCCGGGGTTGCTCTAAATTCTTTCATCCTGCTGTTGCGGGATTGTTTTTTGGACCAAGTCAACTCTAACACCACAAATGCTACCCACCTGCCACTTTTCTGCTCCAGTTCGAATCGAGCTGCTCAGAGAACCCCTTACAGATTTTTGTCAGATGGGAAAACTACTCTCCAAACCCTCAACCCGATTACCTGCCCAGGTCCCGATCGGCGGCGGTTACACCATGCCCGCGTATCTAGCCTCCGGCGAGGAGGGCGCCCCCGACTGGGGCGTCCCTCAGAAGGAATCCCTCGCTTCGTGCTAAACGAGTTAACCCAAACTCCGTACTCAGTCAACCGCTAACCCAATTTTCTGCCCAGGTTCCCATTGGCGGCGGCTACACGATGCCCGCGTACCTAGCCTCCGGCGAGGAGGGCGCCCCCGACTGGGCGCCGGCCGAATGCGAGACGACCAACCGGTACAACCAGTGGTTCTGGCACACGGACGGCGTGGTACGTACCGTCCCCGAGATGGTCGCCATCTACTTCGCGACCGTCGGGCGCAACTGCCACCTGTGCATGAACGTGCCGCCGGACCGGTGAGCCGCAGTCTTCTTCTTCGCTCTTTTTCCCGCTGATCTTATCCGCTTATAGTGGTTCACATCTTGATGTGTGGTCTGTTTTGGATTACTTTGAGTTCTCCTCAGAAAGCTCTTCCTGCAATTGGGTCCAACCACCACCTGTGCATGAACGTGCCGCCGGACCGGTGAGCCGCACTCTTCGTTCCCGCTCCTTTTCTGCAGTACTATTTGCCCTGTTTGTCTTATTCGCATTACCATTTGGTCTCACCTTGTATCGCTGCCCGTTTGCTTGAGTTTGTGTGTTTCTTGAGATTTGTGTACAGCTGGGACAATGACCAACTATGCATGACCATGCCGCCGGTCAGGTGAGCAGCACTCTACCTTCCTCGCTGCTTTTCCTGCAGATGTTATCCGCTCATAGTGATTCCCCTCTTATGTGTGTTCTATTTTGTTTTCCCTCGTATTCTTTTTTTGAGAACTCTAAAGGGGTTTGAACTCCATCACCACCTGTGCGTGAACGTCCCCGTCGGACCGGTGAGCCGCACTCTGCCTTTCTCGCTGCTTTTCCTGCGGATTTTGTCTGCTTATCGTGGTTTGCTTCTCGTTTTATTTCGTTGTGTCCGTTTTGAACTACCTTGAGTTTTCCTCAAAATGCTCTTCCTGCGATTGGGTCCAACCACCACCTTTGCATGAAATTGCCGCCATACCAGTGAGCAGCACTTTACCTGTTTCGCAGATATTCTCATGCAGATGTATCTGCTGCTGAGCTTCTGGCTATGTCGTCGTGATCCTGAAATGCTGCTCGTTTTGGATCAACTTGCAAGTTCCTCTGAGAGTCCTTTCTGTCGGGGAACTCGATCACCACCTGTGCATAAACGTGCCAACGGATCGGTGTGTCGCACGCACACTACTTCTCTCGTTGTTTTCCTGCAGTTCTCACCTGCTTACCGTGGTTTGCTTCTCAATGTGTGGTTTCACCTTCAACCGCTGCCCGTTTTGGCTCACCGTGCAACTTCTTTTGAGAACCCTTTCTGCCGCTGAACTCGATCACCAGCTGCGCATGAAAGTGCCGCCAAACTGTTGAGCAGCACTTTTTTTGTGTCCGCTCCTGTTTCACAATTTCTATCTGTTTATCGTGCTTTGCTTCTCAATGTATGGTATCTTTTCAACCGCTGCCCGTTTCAGTTTTCGTCTTGCGATAACATTCTCGGCCGAAGACAAAGTGCCGCCTGGCACAACTTGCCGCCGAACCAGTCTGTCCCCTCCTTTGACTGTTCTCGAGTACGTCAGCCGTCTGTGTCTCTGCTTCTGTTGACCTGTGTCCTTGCGTGGTTTTTCTTACTCGAACGCACACTTGATCCGGTACATTCTGATGTTTCTGCAACGTAGATTCGGCTTTGTGTGGTTGTGCGGTTCGCCAGCCGTGCTTGATGTGCCTCCAAACGTGTTTGGCATGGTTGCCAATCATGGTAGCAAATCACACTGTTATTCTAGTTTGTACCGGTATTTTGTATGAGAAGTATCATAAAAGTGCTGCTAGAAAGCAAGTCCTAGAAGCTCCTCTCAATCGCGCCGCAAGCGCCACTCGGATGTACGGCGGTGGATCCTAATATATCAAGGTCGCCATCATCTGCAGCCGTAAATGTAAATCTCTCGCAGGTAAAAGCCGTCCAGAACCTTGTCCAGGAAAGATGGGGCCTCTGCATTCTCAAACCCTCATCCGAAACAAAGCGTACGGATATCACGAGATTTGAGAAGTTGTCCAAAATCTTGTCCAGCAAGACGGGGCCCCTGGATTCTCGAACACCCATCCGAAAGAAAGCGTACCGAAGTCCTGAAACGTTGGAAGTCAGTCCACTTTCAGATTCGCTGTGATGCAACTTCAGACTTGGAACTTTTTGAGACCCAGATCTTTGACAATCTGAGTCGTCCGACTCCGAAATGATGATGCAAATGATGATGGCGATGATTATTATGAAACCTTTGCAGGCGCGGCCTCATTCCCGACGAGGACCTGGCCCAGCTGCGCGGCTTCCGGGCGACCCTCGACGAAATTTTCGACACCGACTTGTCCGAAGGCGCGAATGTGTCCGCGAGCAGCGTCCGGGGGGGTGGCGGCAACCCTGATTTCGCCCCCCGGAACGTGTTGGACGCCGATCCGGAGACGTACTGGGCGACGGACGACGAAGTCGCGGACGGTTACGTGGAGCTGGAGCTGCCGGAGGAGAGGAAGTTCAACGTTATCAGACTGCAGGTAAGTCGCAATGTAACTTTTTTCTCTTGCTGGGGGGGGCGTTATGGCGCAGTAGCCAAACAGGGATGTTCAACGCCATGATCTATTTCCTCCTCTTCAAAAGGCGAAGTGGAAGCGAGGCTTTTAAAACAGACCGATACAATTGACGGCAGTTCAGAAATGTGAATCTGGAATTTAAGCAGGGAGTCTAAGTATATGTTTTTTGCAAGTCCTGTGGAAGAGCGCATTGCTAGCAAAAGTCTGAGCGCCGGGGCTCAGCCGGCGCTGCGATGGTCTCCTTGCACACGCGCTTGAAATGCTTGAAAAGAATCCAAGAAAATGAACGCGAATTTTGTGCAGACTTCTAGTGTCAGAAGACGGATACAAGGAGGTGCAGCATGAACCCGGTGTACCTGATTGGCCTTTTCAAGAAGTCTTTTAATGGTTTGCTCTCCGGAAGAATATTAGAATCAAGGACACGTTTGTCAGTATTGTCTTATTGCTGTCTGACGGGCTTTTTGCCTTCCCGGCCAGCATGTGAGGCTAAAGTCGAGCCGTCAAAGCCCCATTGCATGCCTGCGATGATAACGAGGACGAATTTAGGTCGACCCGTGAGTCATCCGCTGCCAGTATCCACACTAGATCTACTCTGAGCGCTATCCGCTTGACACTTACAGGAGCCCATCTTTTTGGGTCAGCGGATTGCCGCCCACACCGTCGACATCTGGAACGGCGCCACCGAGTCGTGGGAGACCGTGGTCAGAGAAACGACTATCGGCAACAAGAGGTTGCACTTGATTAAACCGGTGTCAACCAAGAAAGTCCGCTTGGTCATCCTGAGGTCACGGGCTTGCCCGTTATTGTCCTCCATTGGGCTTCATTACTATAAAGCGGAGACTCTGCCGGTTGTGCACCGCGAGTCTATGCCGTTGCTCGGGATGAGAAACCTGGTGCAATAGTTGGTGCAATAGTCGACTGTACGATGCCTTAGTCAGTGTCTACTTTTGAGTGAGAGACTGCGAATCCGATTGGCAACCGTTATACCACCAGTTGAGGAACTGACTGTGCATGTTGTTGCAGATAAACCCGCAATTCCCTTATAATGCGTAGCTTGCCATTGAATCGGACACCATCATGATTCGGAGCAATCAATGTATGTTCTCTCGTTGGAATCATGTTACGGCCTCCCCCTGATGCCGCCACAATGATTACACAGTAGAAAGCCATCTTGCGTTCAGTTCTTGACTTCCTGGCGGCGTAATTGATCCAATTAAATCATGTACGTTTAGCTGCTGACACAGTTGCTTGACATCATCTATTTTCGCGTTGCGCCGGCCCATGCAGGCTCAAAAAGGTTGCAACTTATATAACGCTTGAATATTATGTGTGTCAACAAAAAGAACGGGCTAGAAAGGCAGCACAAAGTGCTGCACTCGGCATAGTATGATGTGCCATTTCCAAAATGATTGGTGACTTGAGTGACAATTATTTGAGCCGTACGTAGATGGAGGCATGTGATCATAGTGACGGCCATGCGGCTAAAGCTACAAGATTCAAGAAAGATTGGCAATACTTCCAACAACGTTAGTACGCTCCGGTAGAGAGCGTACGTCTTGTATACTAGGTCGGCAAGCCATCGATCTAGAACATTCTCGAAGACTTTCCACATACGTAAAGCTAGAGCTATCGGACGGCCTGCGAGATGATCACCGAATGTCCGACTCGCCACGTATTAATGAATGATGGACGACAAAACATGCAAAGTTCTGCTGTATGGAATTTCGTGGCATAGTCCCAAATACAGGCAAAGCATGCTCAAAGCAGATCAGATGGACAAACCTTCTCAAGGTGTAAAGCAGCTTCTCAGCACCGGCCTATGAATTCGGATGATCATCCGAATTCATAGATTTTCGTCGACGAAATCTTCCGAACGGGCTTGATATAAACGCAGGATGTCTGAAGGTAGTACCGGGATAGCGACCAACCCAGCTAGAAGACCGGCTCATGGTCGCCTCCTCGTTTGCGACGGCGTACATCTGCGGATCATACGCCGCTGCTCGCGCCCACACAGCGCCAAAACTCGAAATTTTAAGATTCCTGCTTGGGGTACGTACCATTGGCGACGGTCCTTCTTTTCGCTGGTACTATCTTTAAGGTGTGTAGGGTTAAGCCCTTTAACCGGCTAGTGACCGGAGAGGAAATCGCATGGCGTCCGTCGCATTCGTTGGCAATTGTGACTCGGACGTGCGAGCGAGGGTTTCAAACTGCAGTTGACGTGCCCGATCTTGGTCAGATTGCCGCCACTGCAGTCTGCATCCACACTCTAATACAACGTGCCTATTATAATGATCGATCATTTCGATATATTGTATAGTCATTTCGTAGCTCGAGAAAATCTCATATCCCCGATCGAATCTTTGCGCGTGAGCGCGGCCGTGGTGATTACATATAGCTGTCCCGTGCACCCCCATACAGGCTTCAGCGCACATGTTGTGCTTTCAATAGTCAATTGAGCAGGCTTCGAGCCGCCGTGCATGCAGCAGGGGTGAGTTCCAAAAAAGCATGGACTTGCGGTGCATGAGTTAGCGTCCCGGAAATGTACTCATGACGGAATATAACCCACCTACAACCAAGTAGCCATACGTGTGCATATGCATGTCATGGCCGCAATGCAAATTCCATCCTTGGTCGTCAACACGAAGAGCTACTGATTCGTGCAAGGAATGACGTAGGCTTAGCCCCGACTCACTTGAAGCAACGTACGCGCACCATGCTAAGTTTTGCTCATGGAAGTTTTTCGGCTAATTGTCGTTCAATTGAAAACAAAGTCAATGCGGCTACGGTTCACCTGCAAGTTCGACATGATCCAATTTTGGTATGTACGAATTATTAACCACCGACATCGTGACAGAGCTGCTCGAAGTCATATGCTATGCCACTGCCGGCCCACAATGATGCGGGCTTGCAAGCATCACATCATGCAGCAGAAGCTCACGCGTGCGTATCATTGTGGTTCAATGAGATCGACTTCCGTATATTGCACCAGTGAGTACGGGTCCACCCGGGTTGAACACGCAGCCGGAATCAGGGCGGAACAAAGTTGAACGACGAACCTAATTGTGAACGTGCCAGCCTAGACCCGGCCATCAGTGGATTATGCATTCAAGTTCCCGTGCAATGCACATCCCCGTGGAATCCAATCGATTATCGGGCGCAAGTGCAAGCAGAAGCATCACACTTCTGCGCAGAAACATCGATGCATACGGTCAGTCTGGTCCAGTCTTTATATTTCTCGATCCACTGTCGGTATCGGCATGTTGAAACGGTCCCTCCTCTGCTGCTACAATGTTACGCCGGAGTCTCCAGCAACAGCGATCGCGCCTTTCATTGGACTTCCCGGGACACCGCACTTTTACGCCATGTCCGGCAGTGCAAAGGGCGGCGGCGAGACCGGGCTCTGTGGCAACGAAAACGTCGCCGCCCCTAGTTCTCCTGGCGACTCGGGCACATCCCAGTCCACCACGTAGTCCGGCAGCACGTGCGAGTGCATGCTGAACGCGGCCGGCCGCGCCTCGTCCGCGAGCTCCGCGTGCGCGCTAAAACCGCCCGTGGTGACCGGGGGATCCCCCGCATGTGAAGTGCCCGGGACGCTAGTACCGACCACCTTTTTCTCAACCCACTCTTGGTCGTACTGCTCCCATGCAATTGCAGACGGAATGGTGGTCTTCACAGGCGAGTTTTGAGCGCTTTCCCGTGACTCGTCGGCTGGTGGCTCTTGACTCGATCCCACTAGCGCTGTTGTCTCCTCATTTCGATTGCTCCCCACAGAAGTGGCAATGAAGTCGTCACTTCCGCTGATATCTGGCTCTTCTGTTGCAGCACAACCCTCCAGCTCGCGACCTTTCGCTTTTGCGCTTTGCTGCTCCGTTTCCGCTTCCGTCTCAAGCGGACTCGTTTCAAAGTTATCGTCGATTTCTGTCCCATACTCACCGTCGTCCTGCCCCGGCATCTCTACGGCGGAGCTTTGGCTAATCCGCCTGATCATCGCAATGATCGGATCAGAGGCAGTGTCTTCCGTTCCGTTTCCGTCGGTTCCGTTCCGTTCCACTTGGCCGACCACCTCCGTTCCCTTCTCAGCAGAAATCGCTTCCCATTGGAACGCTTGGATGTCAAATTTGCCCTCCGTATTTCGCAGACCATTGCCTCCCCCACGTAGCGCCCATTCCTCGTTGATCATACTCCGCTCTCCATTCCGTTCCGTTATTGATGCTTCCGCCGTCTCCTCCTGCCACGGAGCAGTCTCCCCCTCACTCCTCCTGTCAGTCTCCTCGTGTTGCCACGTGGCAGATTCCCGCCCCTCAGCGGCCCCTTCCGGCGTTATTTGTCGTGAGTCATTCTCCGGAATGGGCGTCAGGGATGCGACTCTGAACCGCCCGTACGATATACTCTCCCCTTCTCTGCGATCCGCGGCATCGTCGTCGTTTTCTGGTTTCCGGTCTTCCCTATCCCAGTTGTCCTCTTCCGCAACTTCTAGCAGTTCTCCACCCCATTTCTGCCCCAGAGGAACCCCTAAAGCTTCCCGCCTGCCCTGACGCTCCGGGCTATCCGACCAAGAACCCCCGCCGCTCGTTCTTTCTTTTCCAGAGGTCTCTCCGTTTCCCTCGCTTGGCCCCGTCCCAGTCGCGTTCCGTTCGTTCCTTCCATGTCCTGTTTCCGGGGACGCCGAACCGGAAAGCGGAACCTCTGATTTGCGGTTTGACATCTCGGGTCCCGGCCCCTTTCTGCGGTCGGACGCACCTCCATTCCGGTGTCGGTTCGCCGGATCCGTTCCCAATACCCGGCTGCCTGCGCCCGCTCTCGAGGATTCTTCCGCTCTCCGTTCCGGCTCCGGTTCCGGTTCCGCCGGATCGTGCATCATGCCAAGACGCATGCTCGCGTCCAGGATCGCGCTCTGTTCGTCGAGGCGCATCATGGCCCCCATCAGTTGCACGTGCAAGCGCGAAACCTCCTGCTCCACCACTTCCTTCTGCTCTACCAGTCGTTTCTGCACGCAAGAAGGGATTTGATATTTTGGGTTGAGATTATGGTCTGGGTTTGGGTTTCGTATTTCCGGATCTAGGGACCAGTGTTTTCAAGGAGGGAATATTGTCGGTGAGAATGCACGTGCAGGCGAAAGACCTCCTGCTCCACCACTTCCTTCTGCTCCACCAGACGTTTCTGCACGCAAAGTAACTGAATTCTCAGGTTGGTTTTATGGTCTGGTTTTGGGTTTAGTGTCTCCGGATCGAGGGACTAGAATTTTCAAGGAGGGAGTGTTACGATAATTATGCGTGCAAGCGCGAGACCTCCTGCTCCACCACCTCTTTCTGCTCCACCAGCCGCTCTGCGCGCAAAATGGGGTTCCGGTTTTGGGTTGGAGATATGCGTTGAGACTCATTTATTTTTCCATTTTTTGGGTGTTGTGATACAGTTGTGTACGGGTGTGGGGTTCAGCTTTTCGGCTTGGGGTCGGAGCTTTGTTGCGGACACGGCTGTGCGGTAGAACCCAGTTTTGGGTTTGGTTACCTCCAGATTTAGTGGCTGTTCCGCGGGTCAGCTACACGTGCGGGCCAAAAATCTCCTTTTCAAACCCTTTGTTTGCTCTGCCATCCGTTTTGCACAGAGAAGTGGTAAAACCCTTTGATGTCTTTGCAGAGGGCGATGAGTTCAAGATGTTGCACCTGCAGAGGGCGATAAGTTCAGATGTCGCACCTGCAACTTTGCGTTTGCCGCCAGCAGCCGCTCGGCCTCCCTGCGCGCGTGCGCCCGGAGCGCGCCCTCTGACGTCAGCTGCTGCTCCCGCTGCTTCACCGCCACCTCTAGTTCCGCCGCCCGGGCGGTCAGGCCGTCCGCCTTCTGCCGGGAGGCCTCTAGCGCCTGCGGAAGTCACCAGCAGAACGAGGAATGAGCAAATTGAACGGTGCAATGGGCAGTCGACCGTTGCCGATGAGTTCGAGCGGGCTTGGACGCATCTGCGCTAGGTTCGCGGGGCTGGTCCAGTGCCTGCTGAAAACAACTCCACGTCAGCAGAACGACACTGAAATCTCACAGACATGGCCAACAAGGCCTTCGATTTTGCAGCGGCCGGTTTCTACATTGTCACAGTCCACTAAATCAGGCAGCAAGTCACGTGTACCTCGGTACATTTCCTCATGCAATCAGACTGCAAAACACTTTTCGCAGGGGTGCAGCGCTCTCTGCTCGGACGATCGAATGACACAGATTCACTAGAGCGAAAAAGAGTAGAGGAAAGCCCACCTTCTCCAGGCGCGTCACTTCCGCTTTCAGCGCTCTCTTCTCGGTACAATCGGGTCACACCGAGTCACGGAGAGGATCTAGAGCCGAAAGAGACTAAAGCAAAGCCCACCTTCTCCAGGCGCGTTACTTCAGTTTTCAGCACCTCCGTCGCCTCCCCAACCACCTGATCCAACTCGTCCGCTTCCCCTTCGCTTAAACCCCGCCCCCCGCCTAAACCCTCCACCGCGCGGATCCCGTCCATGCACGCGGCCGCCTGCGCGTCGAGATCCGCCTTCGTCTTGATCAGCCCTCGGATCTCGTCGACCGTGCCACGTGGCGCGCATCGGACGGCCACGACCTGGTCGGGGGGGAGCCCCGGTTGGAAGGCCGGGCCGGCGACAGTCATCGCGGTGATTGCCACGTGTTCGCACAGCGCGGCGGCTTCTTTGTGACAGCTGGCAAGGCGCGCGTAGTGTTGTTCTTTCAGGCGGAGGTGCGATGACTCGGCACGGCTCTCGCGCAGCCGTTTCTGCAATTAGAGGAAAAGAACAAGACTTTACTCAGGGACTCTAGATTCTAATCGTGAGTCTTGACGCAAGGTAAGAGATTTTGGAAAATTTACACAGGTGTACGCACAACTGAGCATGAAGAGAGCTTTCAAGAAGTGTCGTAAGGAACTCAGTTCTGTGCGTGGAGAGTATTCCCACGCCTCATGAAAGGCCGAAGGTTTTCGGTCCTCATCGCATTCCTCTTCAAAACCTTGACCAACGGTACTCTTCTTAACGTGTTTCTTTGTCGCTTGTCAAAAGGACACAGTACTAGAAGTCATAAGTGGTGCCAGTTATGCTCTAGGGGATGAGTCATTCCAGAGTGCGAGGTACAATACGATATTGTCGCGAAATTCAGATCCGTTTGAAAACCCTTTTGGACGCAAATTCCCTACGAAGTGGTGGAAGGACCCTGCCGCACTCTGAGCAGCGGCAACCCTCCTTGTGCTGCCACTAGGCACTCCAACGACACCATCACCGCCTAGTGATCTGTAATCTTGAACCTAAGTTTGCATAAAACAAAGCTTCTGGCTAAAAACCACGATTATGCCAGAAACGATTCCCGAAGGAAAATGACAAGCCCGCCGCACCTTGAGCAGCCGCACCTCTTCGTGCTGCCCCTACTCTTGAGCTTACAAAGAAAGGACCAGATATCGTAAACACCTTCTGATCTGGCGCTCTCGAAACCCTTTTACAAAGCGAACGGGGTAGATTATTATTGCCGGGCAAGAACGGCCGCACCTTGAGCAGCTGGAACTTCTCCTCGTGCTGCTGCTGCGCGGCCGCGCGCGAGCGCCGGATTTCGAGCATGGCCTCGTCCATCTCGCGGCGCAGGTCCGCCGCGTCGCCCTCCAGCAGGCCCTTCTTGACCGTCAGCAGGGCCAGCTCCTGCATAGGCTATGATCAGATTAGGGCTTACATGCACATTTGCAAGAGTTCACTGGGTCAAGGTGCCAGGCAGTGACGGGTCCAGGCTTTAGTCCAATTCCTGAAGCAAAGCGTCGCGACCTCGCTTTCCAACAGGCCCTTTGAACCGTCAGCAGGGCCAGCTCCTGCATATTCTATTAGTGATTGAGTGCTTATGTGACTTGATTATTGTTGATTGGAGGATTTTAGGCAGTAGGTTTCATGGCTATCCTCGAAAGCTTTCAAAACAAGTGAGAGAAGCGCCGCGGCGCCCTCTAACAGGCCTTTCTTGACCGTCAGCAGGGCCAGCTCCCGCATACGCTATGCTCAAATCAGTCCATGCATTTAACTCTCATTGTCGGAAGTCACAGTGCGACTTCAATCCTTACGAGTCAGCTTCGCTTTCCGGATACAATCGTCGATCCGCATGCAATTGAGCAAAGCGATACAGTCATGTTACAGGTCGCATTGAGATCATATACACTGGCACTTTTCGTGATCTCAACAAAAAGATGCTCAGAGCGAAGGGCCCCAAGAGCCGTGATCCAAGTGCTTGCGGACAAAAGGAAGACGACTCCGGAGATTCAGCACTTTCCACTGCTGAAGCTGCAACGCAATCAAGCTCGCAATCAGCATGGAAACACTAAAGCTGATAACACTATGCTAAGTGTTCCTGGAAGAACTAGAGAGGGTATAAAATACCTGGCGGCTGCCGTTCGCAATCGCCAGTAGCTCCTCCTTGTGCCGCCCCTCCAGCGCCTCGAGCCTCTCCTCTGCCGCGCGCCGCTCCTCCGCGCGCTCGCGCTCGCTCGCGCGCGCGTCCTCCCGCAGCGCGCGCATCTCCGCGGCCGCGCGCGCGACCCGCTGCTTGAGCACCGTCTGCGCGACCACCATCCGCCAGAACAGCTCCACCCCGCGCTTCGCGCGGTTCTGCGCTTCCAGGCGCGCGAGACGCGCGTTTTCCTCGGGCGACGATGCGGGTGAGGGACCCCTGTGGTTGTCGCCCGAAAACGCCTTCGCGTGACTGAAAGCTTTGAGTAGGTCGAGCAGTTCCGCGGCGACCCGCTCATCTTCCTCGTTGCTCTTGAGGACGCTCGCGCGGGGCAGCCACGTGGCGGGGTCCGATTGGGCCGGCTCGGGCGCGTCCGGCTTGTGCGCGCGCAGGTTGTGGCGGTCGAAGACGGCCGCGCGCTCGCGGAGGAAAGTGTTGTCCGCATGGAGGCGCTTCACCTGTCGGGGAGGAAGAAACGTGAGCGAAAAGAGAGAACCGGGACAAATGCACGATTCTGTCTTCGTCGATTGCAGGCGCTGCGATTCTACTATTGTCTTTCTGAAGAAATTGCAATGATGCTAAAAGAGCAGCATCGAGAGTTGTCCGCTATGTCGCTTCGATGGGGATGTGTGACACATCGGCAAGGAACTCACAGCACGACTTCGCGCTGCCGCCGAAGCCACCGAACAGTGAAAATTGCAATTTCTCTCGCTCCTCCGCAAACGATAGAGAGCGGACGTTCAATGAACAGAGGAAATCTCAAATGTTTTCGTCTGGAAAGCAAGAGAACCGGAAACTCGATGATCTCATCGCTCCTCACCCGCAAATTCACGGAGAGCGGATATAAAACGAGTTGACAAATGTCGTGACTCTTCTCTTGCAAATCGCAAAGAGCTGCCAATCAACGTTTATAAGGTTTCATCAATTGTCTTTCGCACATCACAAAGGGATCCCAAATCCGCAACCGATCGCATTTTTCACCTCAGACCGCAGCCGCTCGCTCGTGTGCTCCTCCTCAAACTCCTCCAGCAGCGCCCCGAACGTCTCCCACGGTTCGTCCCCCCGGGCGCCCTCTTTTGCCGCCGCCTCTAGTTTCCACACCTTCAGCTTCAGCTCCTCTTCCACTCGCTGGCGCGCCAACTCTGCTTGAGTAGCGTCCCGGGCCAACTTCCGCAGCTGACGTAAGAGGGCAGCCTCCCGCCCGGTAGACGTGACCGGGGCTGTGGCCGGCTCCTGGAAGAAACAATGACGTCAGCTCATCGTCACAGCTTCAGCTTCTCTTGGTGCGCAGCCCCGCCTGGGTCACGTTTCGGGCCATCTTGCGCAGCTGATGTACGAGGGCGGCCTCCCGCCCGGTAGAAGCGACCGGGGTACCGGGCCCCTGGAAAACGAATAAGGTCAGCCATTATCGCGTCTGCACGTTGCGTACCCCTCGCTCAGTAAGCGGTCTGCACTTTGCCATCCACAATGTCGCTTCATATGCGGAAGATATATTTTGAGCTCCCCATGAATCTCCACAAATGAAGGATTATAGCACCATGTAGACCCGAGACCTCGCACCTCGCAACAAACTCAACAAAGAAGATGGCCCGTATTCCTGAAGCCGCGCATGTGATTTTGAAAACCAGATTAGATCTCCCCAGTTGTAAGCCTCATCTCCGGTCAGGTCGATGGTGCACACTTTTGCTCCAACTAAATCCACTTTCAGATCCACAGCATCAATCTCCCGTTGTCGCGGAGTGAGCTTTCACTTGCTCCGAGGACGAAGAACCAGGCCCTAGAAAGGTGTCTCCCCACCTGAGCTTCATAACCCTTCCTGACAAAACTGCAACCCACCTCGCCCAATAGAAGCCGCGTGCAGTCGAGTTTGGCACGCACTTCTTGAGCGGCCGGTGGGCACACGAATCTCCGGTTTCTTTCAAACTAAAAGTTCACCGATACCAACAGGACGCACCGGTACCAACAGGACTCACGAATCAAGACCCGGCTGTAAAGGAGTTAACAACAAATGAAAGGCCAGTAAAACCAAATGCACCTCTTCCGACAAGAGCCCCGCGCAGTCGACATCGGCACGCGCCTCCTGCGCGAGCGCCCGGTGGAGTTCCCCGACCTGTTCCTGCTGACGCACCAGCTCCGCCTCCAGGCCCGCGCACCGCGCCTCCAGAGCGGCGATCTGGTCCTCCTGGACCGCGCGCGCGCACGCGCTCGCGAGCAGCTGCTGCCGCAGCTTGCTCGTCTCTTCGACGGTCGCCTGCGGGTAGGAAAAGGCAGAAATGATGTCAGCATTGACTATGCGTGTTTTGAGAGCTCTTGTTCCTGGACCGCGCGCGCGGACGCGCTCGCGAGCAGCTGCTGGTGCAGCTGGTTTGTCTCTTGGACGGTCGCCTGCGCGGAGATCGGAGAGATTTGCGTCAGGATGCTTCAGAGATATTCGCGAGGGCTGCTGCTCCTGAATTGCGTGCGCGCGCACACGCTCGCGAGCAGCTGCTGCCGCAGCTTGCTCGTCTCTTCGACGGTCGCCTGCGGGCGGTGATCGTAAACCAGCGTCGAAATTGGTCAAGGATGGCTATGGTCACTCGGCTATGGGCTGCAGCATATGCTGCTCAAGTGCCCCGGCTGCAACATGGAATTGAGGGGCGGGGTTTTGCAGAGCGTCCTTCGACGCGCGCGCTGGCATGGCTCTTCTGTACCGCCTATTGCGGCCTTCTCGTCTCCAAGAGTTCGTGGACTGCTCTCATACTCACGCCCTCCTTACATGTCGGGAACGGCATTGCGTGCAACAGCTCGACTTTACTATTTTGTGCTGACATTGTCCAGCGTACCTGAGCTGGCCTCGCCCCGAGAGCCACGTGAACTGCTCCCTCTTATCAAAACGCCGGAAGGAAAAGGATATGGAAAAACTCGAATTTCTCGTGCCCCAAGTCATCTAACATACTGCGCCTCGGCGCGCATCCCTTTCTAAATCTCGTTCAGAAGGATGCATCATAAATCCAGAATCTCCTCTCCGTGCTGACGTTATCAAACGTACCTGCGCGTCATCCCCGCGCGCCGCTCTCTGCGCCTCGGCGCGCAGCCCGTCCGCCACCTTCCGCAGCTCCAGGACGAACCGCTGCTGGTCCCGGCCCCGTTCCGCGGCAAGCTTCAGCCGCTCGATGGCGAACTCGCCCCGCAGCGCCTCCGCTTGAGCCTTCAGTTCGGCGTCGTGAGCGGCAGCAGCCTCCTTGCACTCCTGCAGCGATCGGTTCTACTTAGGAAAACCTCTCTTGACGAAGTTTAGGGGTTCCAGTTCCGACAGCGAGTTTCAGCCATTTGGGCGACGAGCTTGCCCTGTAGCGCCTCCGCTTGAGCCTGCAGCTCGGCATGGTGACAAGCAGCAGCCTCCTTGCACTCCTGCGGAGAAGATTGCAGTTAGAGATAACTCTCTTAACGAAGATAAGGAGTTGCCTCTCCCCGAGAAAAAGTATTACAAAGCGCGATAAAGTGGTCCTTGAAATATTATCGCCGGCTTTCAACTCAATCGCAAACTCGCCCCGCAGCGCCTCCGCTTGCGCCTGCAGCTCGGCGTGGTGACAGGTTGCAGCCTCCCTGCACTCCTGCGGAGATCGATTGCGCTTGGGCTTTAGACAAAGCCGAGGGGCATGGAACGTTTCGGACGTGGAAGACCTTCCAATCCGCTTTCGAGAAGACGATGTCCCTGTAAGCTGCTCTCGACGGCATTTGTTTGCCTGGCAGCAACTTGTCTAAAAGACGCGCAATGTTCTGAAGTAGTTGAGGTCAAGAGAATCCATAATCAGAGACGGCTTCCTCCGTTGCCGGAATTGACTAGCCTCTCGAACGTCAAACGTCCCGGTAAAAAGCGAACTCCCAAACGGAAGTCGGAAACAGCTCGAGACAGTACGTTGCTATCGAGTCGAGGAAACCCTCCAGATGAAAGAGGTCGGAACCGAAGCTCCACCGGTCAAAGTGGAACCTCGAAGAAGTAGGGCCAAGCCTATGGTAACATCCTCATACCTGCTTGCAAAGTCGCATCTCAACTCAACAGATGCTGTAACAGATCAAGGGGCTCGAAAGCCCAAAAGGTTTCGCACCTGCTCGTATCTCGTCATAAGGAAGTGCCTCTCTTGCACGCTGGCCTCCATCTGCCTCCGTAAACTATCGTTCTCGAAACGGAGATTTGCCAGTAGCAGCTCCCCCTTCGCTTTCATCCCAGCCGTCCGCCACTCCACAGGGGCCAATCCTGGCCCTCCATTTTCAGCCCTCTCGTTCCCTGGGCCCATAAACGAGCCGCGCTTCTTATCTCTGTTCATCGACTCCCCAATGTCGGCACCTCCCCCAGAGGCCAGAGCTTCCGCACTGTTCTGATTCTGCCTGGTGAACGCCTTTCTAGACACCTCGACCAGCACGCCGTCCCCCCCACCAGACTGTTGCGCATCACCCCCCTCTTGCGAGGCTTCCTCTACCCCCCGGGGAGCCCTGTTTTCTTTCAGCGACCCATGCCTGTTTAGGGCCGCAATCGAGGCTCGGGACTGGAGGAAGTCGGCCAGCTGTTGGTCGATCGGGTAGGCAAAGTCGCAGGAGAAGGAGCGGTTCTCTGTCAGCTGCTGCAGGAAGAAGCACAGCACCAGGATCGCGAAGCAAGGCTTGAAGGAAGAGCGCTGGATGCCGGCGGGGTCAAAGACCTGCAAGGAGGGTGGGTATGTTGAGCAAGACTAGCCCCTCTTGGGCCTGTTATGAGGTTTCTGAAAACAAAACGGGGGGTGTTACAGAAACGGGGGGTGTTACAGAAATTACCAGCTACCAAGCAGAAGATTGCACTCAGAACAGGTGAGCCGTCTCTTTGTTCAAGATCTACCCAAATAAGTGCATGGCTAGCTCATGATCAGCCAATCAGGAGGGATGTCAAGGAGCTCAACAAGATAGTTTTGGACTTGGCAGCATTGTTGACTGTTCCCTTCATGAGCGTCAACCTTGAGCGTGATGTGGGGCCTTCACACTGGGGGCATTCCTGCTCACAAGCAGATGATATAATGGGGCGCATGACCAATTGCCCCCCAGTCATTCCTAAACGACGCCTGCTACTTTTACCATCCACACGAAATTGATACAGAGTGTTCCTTTGATAACCCTCCCACTCAGAACTTGGCAGCTCCAAGGCGCCTGTTCAGAGCTGGCGTTTGTCAGCTGCCTCCGAGGGGCCAGGCAGATGAACCAGCCATTACTCAGCACATTACCATCTTGCTTTGAGCTCGAAATTGCATTCGTTTGAGATGGTAAAGCTTCTCCTGCATGACTTACATGTGAAGGGAGGTGTAGCTCCACGAAGAGGCTCCGCAGAGACTCCCAGTTCCTTTTCACATCCCACAGGTGAGCTTTGAGCCGGTCCTCCTTGCCCCTGAACACCTGGGGCCATATCTTGGCAAAGACCCTCAGCAGCACGGAGCCGTCGTGCAGGTCTTCGAGCCGCTGACACGCCTTTCCAGACGTCACGGACGCCCATTGAAGGAGCTCCTTTTTTCCAATCACAGGGCGCCCCATCTTATTCGGGGTGGTTCAGGTCATTTGTGTTCGTACAGTTCCGCAATTGCATGGTAGAGGCTTGTGTTCATCCTTTTGAAGTTCGACTTATCATGGCTTGGCAAGATAAGCGTAGCTGAGGAAGTTGTACAAAGCATCAAAGCAAGGCAGCGCCGCAATGCGGTAGTCTGAGCTGAGGAACAAGCTCCTGATGTCACTCTGGCGACCCTGAGAATGATGCAATCCCTTACAAAGGGACGCCCTTCCATCAAGAAGACTCTATTCCAACACAATTGTAAGATGTTTAGACACATCGAGTCGTTCTTAAGGAGACAAAAACTAAAAGTGAGCTGAGGACCATAGTAATTTGTAATACTAATTCATTATACATACTAAAATAGAAGCTTAGCTCGAAACCCTAAATTTTCCTGCCTCAGGTACGTACCATTGGCGACGGTTCCTCTTTCTGCTGGTACCAGGTACGTTGGGTTAGGCCTCTAACTGGCCAGTGACCGTAGGGGGGTTTCAAGTTGAAAATGGAGCGTCCGTCACAATCGTCGGCCATTTTGAGGCGTCCGATGGCATCTCGCGAGGGTTTGGGTTTTGGCAGGGGTTCGGTGAAAGTTTCAAAATTTTGAGCGCAGTTTCAATTGAGCTCATTTGGGCCTGCAACAGTTTGCAATGCAAGAGCTGAAGACTGAAGTGTCAGGGAGTCCTGCCAAGTCCTGCAAAAGAAGGTGCGCCTCAGCACATGCAGACGGACCTCCGAACGACCACCTGTGCTCATGGCACATTGACGCCATCTACTGACTTCAGCAGCTTTGCTGGTGTCTTTTTGGATTTGACGTAAGTTTTGCGCTGCAAAACCATTAGCACAACGGTGTGCGAAGAGGGCCCCGGAGGCCCCCAGTCAGGAAATCGTGGATTTGGGATGCACATGGTGGTCCAGTCCTGCTCAGGTTGAGGACGTCTTCCGTGCCGCGCCATGGCTGAAAGTGGCTTCTGGACTTGAGGCGACAGGCTAGGAGGAGAGAGTCAAACGGACAAATGCGACTAAGAGTTTGAGGATCCAGAAGAATGTGCAATGGTGACGGGCCATAAAAGAAGCTAGTGAAGACAGTGTGTTTATTGTTAGCTTTTGCAAGATCAGCCAAGGAGGTGGCGTATAGTCAGGAGCTCCTCAAATAGTAGAGCCAGGGTTGTCAGAGCAGAAAAGAATCTCTGGATCACGAGAAGGAACAAGTTGCTGGAGCTGGCATCATCATGTCTACCAGCGGGAGGGGCATTGTTGAGAGCCATGGAAAGGACGAAACTGAACAAAGTACAGGTGAGTTACATCTTCACAAGTGCTTGCCCAGTGCTGGAGGGTAAATCTGCCACCATTCCTCTCAAATGTTCTTCTTTGACGGCGATGGCAGAAGTTTCCTCGCGGCTTGTAGAATCTGCCTTTCGAAGCTGCAGAGAATAATGTTTGATGTTTGAGGACACCCTGCAATGTGTATTTGTTGTTGCGGACCAAAAAGTTGCTTTATGGAAGAAGAATTGCTCAGACTCGAAGGTAAGTCACCTCAAAAGCTCACTTGACCTGTCTCTTCATTGATGCAGTAAGATCCTGCAAAGCCATGCCAGCACCTGCACCAGGGCACAGTCAAATCAACAAGTCTCCGCACATCTTCCCATTGCAGGAACAGCAATGCAACAAGAGGCTCCTGATGCTGAAGCCCCAGCGCCGGAGATAACACCCATGGATCTGGACCTGGCACCTGTGCCCTTCCACACCGACACGAAGGATGCGGGTTTAAACAATGAGTCAATGAGCAGAGATGCAGACCGAACTGGTGCGGCACTGTCGCAAGAGCTGGAGATGCTTGGAACTGTGCAGGTCCCGTCTATAGGTAAGTGGTGCTTTCAAATGTTGGGGTGACCCCATTTCTGGTGCTTGTCAAGTTCTGGGCATGATATTACTTCCGTTCATGGGTTGTTTGGGCGGCAAGCCTTAACGTGCTTGTAACCCCGGTGAAAGGGAGACTAAGCTTCAGTGGGGGTGGGGCTAGTGCTTCTGCATCAAGGCGCCCTTATGTGTGCTTGATCCGTTAACAAACAGATATTTTTGAATCCAAAGAGCTTGATTATCAAACCATGTGATTGTGTGGTAATCAAGATCTTGTGACGTCTAAATACATTCATTCCTCACAAGAGTAGGAGACAAGGACCATGAGATAAGTAGGAAGCAGACAGAAGAAGAATCAAAAGGTTAACGACAGGGCGAACATGGTCAAATGGACTTTTTGTATGCATATGACAAACTCATGCATCGGCGATGATCTCTGCTGCAGTTCGTCGAATTGCTGTCCGGTCTGTCCTGTGGGAAGACATTGTTGTGGAGATCCCAAGCACAGCCACCATGGCTGACTTCAGGGTAAGCAAGAAGATTTGAGCTTCCTCGTTGCACAGACTAGCTTGGTTGAAGATGTGTCGCCTATTGTACTGTGGTTTGACTCTCCGTTTGGGAAGGGAAATGTGTATGTCGCTTTGTCAAGGGCTTTTGCGCCGCCGTGGCCTTTGATTTCATTCGTCGTGCTTTCGCTTCTTCAGGCGCTGTCCCCTACCCTAGAAATCGCGCTTGTATGTTGCATATTTATTGTGTCCCTGCCTGCTTAGCCCCCCCCTTTCGGTCGCCAAGGATTTGAACAGCATAGTACTACTGATTATTGCACAAATGAGAGTCACCAAGAGCTGGTAATCACAAGTTTCAACACCTTAACCCCCTGAATCTGTGATTCAAATATGATCACAATTTGCAGTCAACAATTTGCAGTCGGTTACATCAATAACCTGTGGTCGCGCAGAGAGCCATTGAGGTCCAGAGCGGGGGGAGGCTCCGGGAGGACATGTTGCCTGAACTAGTGTATGACGGGATTCTTCTCCCCACCGACAATACGAGCATCGAAGAGGCGGGGCTTACGGCCGAGAGTGCGGTGGTCGGCTTTCTGGCAATGAATGTGTCAGCACTGACAGGCTCTGCCGGCTTGGAGTTGGAACAGTAAGTTGATTCCCAAAAAGTGAACTCAAACCTGCGTCCAAGGTGTGGTAGTTGAAAAGTTTTGCGATGTGACGGTGTGTGAAGTTCTGGAGCGACTTGCAAGATCCCAATAATCGTGCTGTGGGAATAGATGCTCTGATGAATCCCTATAATGGGCAGTCTTCATGCAAGAATAATACTCTTTAACGTCAAGGTTGATTTTTAAGAAGAGGGCAGGCAACTGCTTGAAGCCTTTTCTCTGGATCAATATCCAGGCAATTAGTGCTGACTCCTCAAATAAGGTTTGGGATGGGAGAATCGTTTTCTTTACCTGAATCGGCTCCTGACCATTGCACTGCTGTGCAGGGTGAAGGAGAAAAAGGGTAAAGACCGTCGGATAAAGATCTATGTCCCTAGTGCGCCGCGTCTGCCAACCAATGCTCCAGGTAAGACCGCGTACTATCATCCTTTGCTTTCAGGATAGTGGCCCGGTTCGCCTATGCATGTTTGACATCCCTTCTTACGCACGACAAGTTTGGCATGGGCTTTTCATGGGGAAAGCTGACGAGGCCAGTATGGCTTCGCCTTGGAGGGCTTGGCTGCCGTTGCCATGACGCAGAACTTTTCAACCCTACAGGATCCGTACAATTCGTCTTGGGGACCTTTGCGGGTCTGATCATGGAGCCTTTTTTTCGGGTTTGCGCATGCAGACTATCTCGATCCGGTTTTCTGGGGGAACCAATCTTGCGCATGAAAAGAATGGGTCGTAGACTACTTTGAAGAATGCAAAGTATCATGTGGAGATTACTTGGACACGTGCATAAAGAATGTGGTAAACTGTGACGTAACTGTCTCCTTTAACACCTTGTCTTTCTCTCTGCAGCTTTGGAGGACACCACGCCCCCTCACAGCACGCCCACGGCTCTTCCAGCCGAACCTTTGCCATCGGCGCAATTCCAGGGCTTTCCTCCGCCGCCAGTGCCTCAATCCATCCCAGTCCCCTCCAGCGACCTTCCCACCCTCCCCAACCGAGTCGAACAACACCCTCCGGTCCCTTCTGAAGCACAAACCCCTCCGCTCGTCCAAGATCAGCCTGCTCCAGTCGTCCGTTCCAGCGCACTTCCCGCTGGTCCTCCTGCGCTTCATCATACCTCTGCAAACGTCCCTGACGTCAGCCAAGGTCACCAAGCACCCCTTGCCGACGTCCCGGAAACGGCAGCATATTCCGATGCCTCTCAACCCCTTTCCGAACCCCATGCCGAGGCCCCTCAACCTTTCCCAGCCCCTTCGGAAGGCCAAATACCCTCGTTGTCTTCCGAGCCGCCAAACCCCCCAGAAACGTCCACTACTGTTGCTTCCAAAGAATTGGCGCCACCGGAGGAAATCACACCGTCCGAAGCGGAGGAAGCGACCCCATCCAGCGTAGTTGGGCCGTCCAACATCGCCCTGGAAATGGTGGACGCGAGCAGCCAGATCGAGCCCGGGGAACTCCACTTCCCGCTTCTAGTTTTGGCTGCGGTACCCCCCCACCTTCTCCAGTACAGCATGGGGGGGGATCCCAACCCCCCTCCCGAGATTGCGGCCCCCGAAAACGCCCATCCTCCGGAAACAATGGAGCCGCCAGCGAGCGTTGCACCAGTCGCAGAAATGGTGGTCGAAGAGGCGCCGAGCGCTGGGGGCGGCATGGAAGTTGCGCTGGTTCCGGTGCCCTACCTTGTGAGCAATTCTCCAACTCTGGATCGATTCTCAGCCCGTCAAAGTTTTCCTGCTTTGTTCTCGTTATCTGCACCAACGACCTCCGCTAATATCTGCGCCAAAATACTGCTACCGTCCACCCAGACATTGTCGGCCCGGCCAAGCCAATGTGCATGCTTTCTTTTGTTACAAAAGCATATTGACAGCTCTTGATTTCAAGGTTCTAAACCCGATTGAACCAAGCAACGAAATTGCGGCATTCTAACCCACGAGTGCCTGGATACGGAAACCAAAGTGTCAAAACGGCAAATCAATTGTGCGTCCCGCAGCCCCCGCCGCCTGTCGTCTACGGACCCGGGGGCCGGGAGATGGTTCCAGTCGACACATCCCGGCGACGGAAACAGAAGAGGCGGCTGTCGGAAACAGAGGAAGAGCGGGAGGTGCGCCTGCGGCGGGCCCGGAAGCTGTTCACAGTGGGCGAGGTGGAGGCGCTCGTGACGGCCGTTGAGAGACTGGGGCCCGGAAGGTGAATACACGCGCTTGGAAAAGTTGCAAGAGAAGCGGAGTCGTGTTCTGCATGGCCGAGCCAGAAAGATGGCGATGGTAGTATGGCGTTTGCTTGCTTTGCTGTGATGCTTTAGAAGAGGTGCTTCTATTCGTGGAGACAGTGTGGGGAGGCGGCGCAGATCGGCCGTCATTCGACGTTTGCATCGCTCATCGAAGAATTTGTCAAACCGCCCCAGATAGTAAATCTTTGCGAACATGTTGCGGGCACTGATATTTTGAGACGGAGGCCTCTGTTTATCGCAATCACCATATAGAAGAAGCTGAGAACAACTTGCAATTGCGCAGGTGGCGTGAGGTGAAAGAGCGGGTCTTCAGCCACGCAGATCACCGAACTTACGGGGACTTGAAGGTGAGGATATATGCTCTTTGTCGTAGACAGGGTTCTTGTTCAGGAACCTTTCTGTAAAAAGGCGCAGAGCAAGAGGATTGCCAAGAACTCAGTCTTGACACGTAGACAACATGTCGCACTTGGTCTCGTGTATCAGTCAGGATATAAGAATGACATGAAATTCTGGAAGATACGAGCAGATCGATGACATGACCGACTGAAAGGCATTCTGGAATCAGGGATTGAGGAGCAGTTGTCGTATTGTACATTGTGGAAACAACGGAATGTGCTTGCTTTTGCAGGACAAGTGGAAGACGCTGGTGAAGACGGCCCAGATTACAGTCCCAACAGCATCCCATGTTTACAAACCCAACTATTGAATGCTGAAATATGTACTTTGATTTCAGGACAGGAAGAAGACGGCCCAGATCGGCCCCCAGCAAAAACATGGAAACATTCTAAAAACTCCATGGTTAGTCACAATATTAGTCGTCTTCTGTAATAATCTTTTCCCCGTGGTTCCAGGACAAGTGGAAGACGCTGGTGAAGACGGCCCAGATCGCGCCCCAGCAGCGGCGGGGCGTGGAGATCCCGGAGGAGCTGCTGGAGCGCGTCACGCGCGCGCACGCGTTCTGGACCGCGCAGGCCGCCAAGGACGAGCGCCTCACGGACGCCGATGCGCCGCCACGTGTCCACTATGTGCGGATGCCGCAGCCAATTAGGAGACCCGTGAGCAGCGTACTTCTGCCTGTGATACAACATGCGTTGGACTTTATAATCTTGTTTCTGGCTCGGTTCTGGCCGTTTGTCTATCTCCTTCCTCTAGCGTTTCTTCTAACTTTTTAGGGCCTCTGTCTGTCCGTTCTCACCGCTTCCTCACAGTCCAGGGCACTTAGCAAAGGGTTGACTTAACGAAGGGTTGCGTGTTGAGGGTATGCTCCTGCTTCTCCATTTTTTGAGTTGTCCGTCTCTTTTCTTTTCAGGCGTTCCTCTGATTATTTTTCTACCTTTCTATCACGTGCACTACATGTGGGGGGCAGAAAATTTCTTTCGGTATCTCGTCCTTTTCTCGTCGTGTGTCTCGAGGCAGTCGGGAAGCGCCAGCAATGATGATTTGTTGCCCTTAGTATCACCCAATCTGAATCTCTGTCTTTGTTCGTATTCCCCCCTCCATCTGCGCAGACAAGGCCATAAGACCCTTTAATCGGCGCCTCGTGTTTCCCGTCTTGATTTGTAAGGGTCTGCGTCGACTGGGATGGGTGAGCGGTCAACTCCGGTGCTCCGGACCAATGAGAACACTTCAACTGATCACGTGATATTAGAAGTACAGACTGGTACAGGATGTCGTTAGAGAGGCAGTGTACAAAGCTGTACGCGGACCGGAGATGCGAAGCTGGTGAGCCTACCAGGTTTGGGTCAACGCGGAACTTCACATTGAACATCTCCGTCATTTTGTGCTCCGTGTCCCTGTCTTTCTCCCAACCTTTGGTCCGTTGGTCATCGCTGCCTACGTGCTGATTCCACAGCCTTCTTTCTCCAGGTCTACTTCACAAACGGCGCACACCCCCCCCAGCCCGACATGCACGCCCATCACCACCCCGCTATGCCGCAGGGGGGTCCGGTGGCTGGGCCAACACCCCCCCACGATGGCCAGCACATGCATGGCCACGCGGAGGGGATGGGACAGGATGGCGTACCAGCCGGGCAGACGACTGGTCACATGAAGCAAGACGGTTACCATGCTCAGGTAAGGCCCTTATGGACAATCTCAACGTGGTGAGAAGGATTGTGAGCGGGAGTTCCGTTGAGAGTCTTGACGAGGGTCCGTTATGGATCCTTGGCTTACGATCCATGAAGGTGCTACCTATGTTGTTTGAAGGGCCGTATTTCCAAGGTCAGAGGAGGTTTGACAGTTCTCAGCAAAGTTTTGACTGGCGGTCTTTTTGGCAATGGCGAGCCAGGCTGTCTCTCGGACCCAAGGTTCATAAAACAAAAGTCTACTGACGTTATCAATTGTCCGTGTTGTGCTGCTAGCGCACGTTTACCACCAAGCGCTGCACTTTGTGTGGGGGCATAAAGGCCCAAAGAAAGCCCAACGTCAATCAGCGCTTTTTCATCATATCAACATAAGTGGATTCTTGAAAGAAGCACTGGTTGTCTGCAAGGCTCCCTAACGTCCCCTCAAGCCCGTCATTAACAAGCTGATGAGGCTGCTACTCCCCTATGCAGCAACCACAGGGATACCACTTGCAACAGGAGGAGATGGGCCATCGATTGGGCGACCCAGGAGCAACTCAAGCGCAGGGCCAGCAAGGTGCGTGTGTCGTACTTCTTTCTCAAGCCGTTCGCCGGTCGATAAGCCGTGGAAAGAAGGAAGTTGAAGAGCAGCGACCCTACAAGCAGTCGACCAGCTTGTAACTTTTGCTCTCCAGCGCTTCGGACTTTTAGCACTTCTTTGACTCGCAGTGGAATTCATGGTGGTCCGTCGCTCCCTGCAGGGCCGCCCATGTCCCAGGACGGTCGGCCGCCCGACGCCCCCCCTGGCCACGAGCAGTACGCCGGTCATCCCCCCCAATACGTGGACGCCTCCGCCGCGCAGCACTGGCAGCAGCAGATGCACGCGCACTACTACCAGCAGCAAGCATACCCGCCGCAATATACATACGAGGGCGCCCCGCCTCCAAATGCGCCGTACCAGCAGGGCCAGGAGTATGCGCATATGCAGCCGGGCGCTCCGCAGCATATGGAGCCGGCGGGTTATCATCAGGGGGGAGCGGAGTATGGGGCTGGGGGCGCAGCGTATCATCAGAGCGGAGAGCAGGTGGTGTATCAGCACGAGGGCGAGGGTGGGTACCATCAAGGGGGCGCCGAAGCTTATCAGCAGGGGGGGGAGGAAGCGTACCAGCATGAAGGAGCGGGGGCGTATCAACAGGCGAGCGGAGGGGGGTATCAGCAACCAGGTGAGGGGGTCTATCAGCAGGGAGGGGAAGGGGGGTACCAACAAGAGGGGGGGGCGGTTTATCAGCAGGACGGTTATCGGCAAGACGGAGAGGGGGGGTACCAAAACGCGCAGCCCCAGCAGCATCAGGCGCCGCAAGGTTACGTGTTGCAACAGGACGCCGCGCTTAATGAGTATCTGGTGGGTGACCAAGCTGCGGGCCGGCATTACGCAGAGGGGTATGCTCATCAAGGGGGGCAACCTGGGGGGCCGGACGCCGGGGATACCGGGCAAGCGGGTGGCTTCCAAAGCGGTGCAACCGAAGGGGCGATACAAGGAGCACCGGTTCAATGAGCTAGCAGCACAAGCCAGAGCATTGCCAGGAATGAAATGTCAACTCTGTACCGGATCTGTGAACAATAGCGAGCTGTTGTTGTGCTGCACTTTGTGTACAACGGGTGCATGATGCTATGGCATGTGCAAGTGTCGAGTGTCTTGCTGAAATTCACTGAGCAAGCATGTGGCTGTTGGCATAGAGTACAGTGTAGAGTCTGCCCATTGCAGTACGGACGTGGATTGGCGTTGCACACTGACATGCGACGAAAGTACCCCACGATCAGCTTGCATCATGTTTACATTGACGGCAGCTGTGCACCAACATACACATCCTTAACCATCGTGTTCAACGGTTGCCGGGGCTGCCCGGCCCTGAATCCGCGTACGTCCAGATCGCTTGATGTACAGATCTCTTGTCAGCTCATGCAACTACACCACAGGCTGCGCAGGGGCCCGGCATCATGATGTGCAGCGACACGCATCATCCGGCGCAACAGCGGCCCGGCGTGCCGTTGCATGCAATGGCGCTGGCCTCAGCTCCGGCACGCAGCTTGTGAACCATGCCATGTTCAAGTTAATACTCGACGCCGGTCTTCAATCAGGTCAGGTAGCCTTCTGGCATGTTGGCGGCCCTGTGCATATGCACGCGGGCCGCCCCACTGAGCGTGGCGGTCGTGACATATGGCCTGCATGCATGCATGAGCCATGGCTTGCCGCGCAAAGCCTGTTAAGTTGTCTAGCTAGCTGGCCATGGATGAAGAGCTTGTATTCCACTTGCCCAAGCTGCCGTCCTGTCAAATGCCCGGTCGGTTCACGCATAAGGTCGGAGGCCTTCACTGGCCGTTACACAGTCGTAAGAAAGTTGCCGAGTGCGGCTCGGCCGGCCACAGCTGGGGCTTATACGAACCTAACCCCGTCGAATCTACACCAGCCAATTGCCTGCATGCGGCCCTCTTCAACTCCGTCCTACAGTAAGGTTAAGAACGGTGCTCTATGTCTAGCATATCTAAGTTACGGCCGAGCTGGGAGCGGTCCCCCATACTCATGGACACTTCAGCAGCTCTACAAGCTATAAGGTTCAGTCTACATACACTCCCGTAAATTTACGCTCATGTCCTTTCCCACCGAAAAACCTGTGTGTTCGTCTCGAGCCATGGCACACCGGCCACCTCCCGCAACCTTTGACCCGTGCCCTCGTCTGGAGACATTCCTCGGGACACGAACATTTGCTTGACGTCTTCGAAGCTCTTCTCGTTGACGTGAGCATAACCGAGCTGACCTGGCCTGCGCGAATAAAGAGCCGTATAGTGGGATATCCCGAGCCTCATTGAACATTGATATTGCCGTTGCTGGCTTTTGACGGCGGACCGAGCAACTTCGAAGCAATCTGACAGCCAATATTACTGCCGTCCAGGAAGGAACGGTCTCAAGTCTCAGCCTCACAAAAGAAGAACAAGTACAAACTTTCCACTTAATCTGCGGCCCAACTTTTTGATTCCCCTGACCAGTAGATCTACCGACAACGGACAGCTCCTGATCTCAGAATCCAGTCCCTAGCTGGAGGTCTCTAGCCCGCCACCCGAAAGTCACTCAGCAATCGCATCTTTTATAGATGAGTCACACACGCTCAGGTTCCTTATTTCCTTTCGAAACGCCTAACAGTTATCGAAACGCCTCACCTGGCCCACGTGACCACAACCCCCGCCTTCGCTAACCCGCACAGGTTATCCACAAAGACGTCCTCAAATTGCTTTGGCAGATGCTCCCCAACTTCGATGCTCATTACCCAGTCCGCTTTTGGCAGCCGAAGCTCTTCCGTGAAGTCAGCAAACTTCACCCAACCCCCAGTCACTTCTTCGATGTTTTCTGCCCCATCGACGCCCGTCCACGCGACAGTTGGCGCGTGTTCCTTGAACCACCTGGCGGACAAAAGTGGCAGAAACGGCTTGACTTGGGAGGGAAAGTAGTTCTCAGGCTACGTTACGTGTGTGCCCGGCGATTGGATTGCAAATTTCCGGTTTTTAACACTTGTCAACCATCCAGGGTGGCGTATGCTCCGTCTGGGGCGCACCGGCAAATCATCTCTTAATCGCAGGACCCTCGACAATAACACGGTTCCAGTAGCCTGATCTAACAAAAGAAAATAGGATCTCAGGACTTCCACGGAATGCATAGGCTTCCCCTGGAAAGCAGGACATGAAAACATTACTCAACCCGTCAATATCTGGTCTACTTTCGGATTGCAGCGGCGAAACCACCGACAATGCGCAGCTGGAAACAGGGTACCCGCACCTGCCGTAATTCCCAAGGCCCGTGCCTACGTCCAGCACCGACTGCCCGGCAAACAGCTCCCCAAGCACTTTCGCGTAGCCCTCATCCACCTTGTTCAGCCCAGGACTTTCCCCGGGGCTTTCTACCGAGAGGCAAAACCCACCGGTCGGACCCACACCCTGCACCTTGCATGAGAGCGCACCGAGCAGCGCGCGCAGAGCGCGCATCTGAGCTTGATGTGACTGCTGCTCCTTTCGAAGCTCAGCGATCTCAGCATGGAGGGAAGGGGAAGAATTTGGTGGTGAAGAAAAGAAAAGAAGGAGGGCAGAGTTGTTAGCAGAGCTAAACTGGAGCAGGTAGAGAGCAAAAAGGAGAACGGCTCCCAATGCGATGAAGCAGAGGTATGTGCCCCTTGGACAGCCAGCAGGGAAGGTCCTGGGTACTTCCATCATTTTCACGGCGTTCAACTTACCCTCTGATCATTGTGTGCCTGTTCTTTGTAAGTGCAGGTCCGTAAGTCTGTCCTTAATGCTTCGCTTGACTAGCAACTCTGTGTTCAAACCTGCAAATTCAGAGCCAAAGGCCAACTGAGGAGAACTGGAGCATCCACTTTGGATCTGAGAATCCTTTGTTGCCGCCCTCATGGCTCGATCAATTTGCGCATAGTGGCAGACCAGAGAGCATCGCCCGAGCAGATGAGGAAAGTGATCGACAGGTTGCGCTGATCTGCTACTAGCAGCGCAGACAAGGGTTTCATCACTTAGTGACACTTGACATATTTCTGATCTACCTAAGTACCGGTAGAGCTGATTTCACACAGTTTTCTGTTCTTAGCGCTGATGTCGCTCAGAGCAACAGACTCGGCATTCATATGGTGCTTCTCCTGCTTCGGAATGTGAAACCATCTGGAGTCTGAGCTACACCGTGTTCGTTGATTTGACATACAGCAGTCAATTCTTTTCCTATTCATGATCTGATATCGGCCGTTCGATCGCGGACTGATCAATCGGACGGTCGTAGCAACATCAATTGCCCAAAGCACAGGCTTCGTCGCACTGCAGTCACTGAGGCGCCCGGCCCGCCAGGCGCCCCGCCTAGCTCAAGTTTTCATCAAGAGTTGCAAACATCTGGTTTCTAGGTTGGTTCTCAGCTATTAACGAGAACGCGTTAATAGATGAGCGCAGTGCAGAGCACTGCGGATGTGTGAAGTAAAACAGTTGGGGTAGGCAAAGTCGGCTCGTGCAGGCTCTTCACAGTCGTTCCCCGAAAAGGGTAGCGCTGCTCTGCCTTAGCCGGTTTTATTATGAAAGGGACCGGCCACGAGTGGCAATTGTTTGTGCAAATGTTCGGCTAACTGCCTAATGCACAATGCGATACCCAATGAACTACGGTACGCTAAGAATGCAACGGGAACTGCTAAAGAAACCTACGTCGGTACGACGACTAATGTCGAATCGACAACAGCTAAACTAAACTAAACGAAACTGGGGCAACGCCCGGGCCGCCGACGACGAAGCACCGCTCGGTCGCCGTCTTCAGGACGCCGCCGAGTCGCCATCTTCGACACGCCGCCAGTCCGCCGGAACGCCGGATCGCCGGAACAGGGGCCCGCCGGATGAAACGCCGGGCGGGGGGGAGCGACGAGGGCGCCGTGACGCCAGGTACGGAGGACGCCGGAAACTGCTGGTACGCGGGAACGCCAGGATGCAGAGCTGAAGACGAACAGGCAACGATGCTGCGGCAAAGAAAACGAAGGCACGTGCAGCAACGGGAACAAGACAGGGCGGGAAGCAGCGAAGCTGCGGGTGGGTCTTGGTGGGGAAGCAAGGAGGCGCCGTCCTCCTTGCGCTGTGTGAACGTGCTGAGCGACAGATTGAAGAAATTTGTCGCGAAGACGCGGCTTTAAAGCCGCGTATCGGGTTAGAGGTTCTCGTTAAGCGGAGAACCTCCGTTTTCGACTAACTACGAACGTCGAAAACTTTCAATTCTCAGCTATTAACGAGAACGCGTTAATAGATGAGCGCAGTGCAGAGCACTGCGGATGTGTGAAGTAAAACAGTTGGGGTAGGCAAAGTCGGCTCGTGCAGGCTCTTCACAGACAACAGAGGCAGTGGCAGGCGGTCTGGAAGGGCAGTGGCGGTGCACGAGCAGGTGAGGCGACGGGTTAAGGATAACTGAATTTCAGCATACCTGAGCTAGACAGGGACTAAAAGAAGCAAGCCTCGGACTCGAACGCGCGAAGTTGGGCGATCGGGATATCCTCTTGCAGGCCGAGGTTGCGAGTCGTAGCGAGGCGGGCCTGAAGTGTTTCCCGCACGTACAGGTCCTTCGCCCGGTCAGAGCGCCAACGGCCGTGGCGCTTGAACAGGCGATCGGGAACATTGTGCGCGGCCGCGCCCGTCGCGCCGCCGCGCCGGCCGGAATGAGTCCCGTAAAGAGAAGGGTCTAAACCAAGAAGGGAAGCGGCGCCCTTGAACCAACTCAGGACCGTGTCGTAACAGGGAGTGTTGGATTTGAGGCGTTGGGTGGGAGGGCAGACGATGGTTGAGCGGATGAGGGACCCGGGGCCACGGGCAGGGTATTGACCAACTTTGAGGAGGCGTTCAAGCAAGGCAACGGGGCAGTAGCGGCCCCCCAGGCGAGCAATGAAAGTAGTATCGCCCCGAAGGTATTGGTCGGTTTTGCTGTCGGGGATAAAGAGTTCGGCGTGGGTAGGAAGAATTTTGACGTTCTGCCAGGTGAGTGCCATTAGGTCGTCGTAACGGTAGAAGGTTGTGTAGCAGATGACGATTGCGGAGAACTTCATAAGGCTGTGAAGGGTGGCAGTCGGACCGGCCCAGATTTCAAAAAGACGACGGATTTGGGACGCTAGGAACGGGCGCTTCTGGTTCTGACTGGCGACTTTGGTGCGACGAGCTGCCTCATGAGCCCTCCGAACGAGGGGATGATTGGTAGGGGAAGGCAGGCCGGCTTGGGTATGGTTAAAGAAGACTGCGCCGGAAAAGGTTTTCAGGGGAGCTGGAGTGTTAGCGGTCCTCAGAAGACGCATCATATACAAGGCCACAGTTAACGGGCTCGACGGAAGAGCGGGGACTTTCTTCTGAGCGCACCACTCCTTATACTGGCGCCAGGGGCCGGCGTACTGTTTGTAAGTGCCCGGGGCGCGACAGACTAAGGAGGCGTCGTGGAGATCGACGGACAGTTGAGCAAGCTCCGGGTCGGTTGAAGAAAGGCCCGCGGCCGGGAGGTCCCAGCTTTCAAAGTTAAACCAATCTGCGAATGAAAAGCAAGAAATAAAATCAGAACCGGAGCAAAGGGCAGGAAGTACGCGAACCTTCACGTGGAGAAGTCGCAGTCCAGAGCGTACACGTCGGAGATGGGGACGCCCTTCCCGAGGAACCGGTCGCGAGAAGCGCGCCCGGGGACCAGGACCTCGCGGCCGGCAGGGAAGTAGAGCTGACGGCGCACGAACGGAGCGAAGCCGCGGCCGGAGGCGACGCTCCCGGAGAGCAGAGGCCACCACGGGGCAGAGCGCCAGCCCAGGACCACCAGCGTCATGCGCGCGCGACACGCGCGCGCGTGCCGAAGCGCGGGCGCCACCAGGGACGGGGGAGGGAAACAGTAGTTTCGCTCGGGGATCCCCCAGTCTTGCGTGAACGTGTTCGCGGCCGCCGCGCCCGGGCACCAGAAGAAGGCGTCAAACCGAGGGAGTTTGGCGTTGTGTTCGCTCGCGAACCGATCCACCGTAAACGGACCGAACTGCTGAGAGATGAACGCGAAAGTCGCCGGGGAGAGGCCGAAGTCATCGAAGTCCCGAACTTTGCTCAGATAATCAGCGCGGGTGTTCTGCTCACGGGGGAGCCACTCGGGGCGAAGCTCGATCCGGTTCTCCGCACAGAAAAGAAAAATCTTGACGCAAACCAACTGGAGATGCTCTTTTGCTGAGCCACCCTTGGACAAAAGCGTGAAGACGTTAAGGGCATCGCCGCGCGCGATGACTGAGCAATCTCGGAGGAAAGGGGCGAAAGCGTGAAGAAGACGGAGGAGTCCTGAGAGTTCACGCCAAGTCGAAGAGGCCATGCCGTGGACCTCATGAGCTTCCCACGCGCCGTGCGCCTCGTGGCGCTCGCTGCCAATTTCCAAGTGGCCGCCCCACCCATGGCCGCCAGCATCGTAGTAGATCACTCGCAGGATGGAATGACGACGCCAAATGTCGCGGCACTGGTAGAGGTCCAAATGAGACTGCCAGAAACGAAGATCTGCGAGGGCGGCTGGATCGAGCGAGATCTTGCTGTACCAGGAAGAGCGGTTGGCGAGAGCGCTGTGAAGAGAGCGGGAAAAGAGACCAGAGATGGGGCCGGTCACGAGCGAAAAGGAGTTAACCAGGCCCGTAACCCTAGCGACTAGCTTAGCTGGAACGGAGTGGGGAGAGCGGAAGCACGACGAGATAGCGGAGGCGAGCTTCTGCTTCTGCAGAGAAGTGAGACGGAATTGGCCGAAGAGGGTGTCGACAACGAATCCTAGGAACTTGACCACGTGGCTGCGCGAGAGCTGACACTTCTCTAGAGAGACGACTAGACCAGCTGCTGCTAAATCTGCGAGCACGGAGGCTTGGACACGTGTAAACTCAGCCACGTCGCGGCACGTGAAAAAGAAGTCGTCAATGTAATGGATCAGCTTGTAACCGCGCGCGCGCCAAGATTTCGTCAGCTGGCGCATCACCTTCGTAAAAACGTAGCAGGCAGGGGCGAGGCCGAAGGGTAGCTGAGTAAAGACGAAATATTGACCCTGCCACTGGAAACCGAGGTATTTCCAGTGTGACTCGCAGATGTCGATGTGGTGATAACCCGCTTTCAGGTCGACTGTAAACAGGAAGTCCTTGGGAAGGCAAAGCTCGGAGACGAGGCGAATAGACTCGTACTTGAATTTTGGGACCTGAAGAAACTTGTTCAGAAAGCGGAGGTCTAAGATAAGACGGAGCTTATCCTCTGCTTTTGGTACGACACCAAGTGGACTGACCAGGAAAGGGGGTAGGTCGACAGGAAGAATTGTGCCCGTGGCCTTCAACGTCCGGATTGCATCCGTCACGAAGTCTGCGTGTTCGAACGCTGACGGATGGTTGCGCTAATGAAACGGCTCTGTGGGAGGAGAAGAAATCCAAGGAAGCGCATACCCCGAGAGAAGAATCCCCATCACGAAAGTGGATGTGACGAAGGACTGCCAGAAAAGGACATGGCGACGAAGTCTGTGACGCAGCCAAGGCTCCTTAGTACCAGCAGACGACTTAGCCGCGGCATTCTTAGCCGGATCCCGAAAACCCTCAAACTCAGCTGCTTCCGTAAGATCGGCAAGCTTATGGAGCGATTCGTCTGTTGCTGCGAGAAAGAGAGATGAGCAGTGTAAGAATAAGCAGCGTAAACGTCAACAGGGAGAACGGTAAGGTCGTTAACGTAACCCGAATTGACAGAACAGAGGGACGAAGGTAGGAGACTAACCAGGGAAACGTAGTAAGATGAATTGAAAAATCCAAGTTTTATAGCGAGTGAAAAAACCTGAGAAAGAATATTAGTGGATCAGAGCAGGGCAAGAACTGGACTTGGTTAGCAATAACCAGGTCCACGTGACATCACGTCCACCAAACAAACTGGCAAAAGAGCCGAAAGGAACGAATCTCAAGTTAGAAAAGAGAAAGAGCACGTGAGTTTAGGGGACAGGAAAACCTGGATCGTGAACGTGAAGAAAAAGAAAGACAAAGAAAGAAAGCCGTTAACGTTAACAGGAACCGGGTCAGATCGGATGTATCAACAACACTTTCCATGGGGTCGTGTAAAAACCCCGTGGATGCCACAGACATCCTGTCCCAGAACAGAACCCCATGGTCTCTGAAAATAAAAAGGTCCAAAAAGGTTTCGGTAACGTTAACGTGAAGCTTCTGAAGAGTGAGAAAGGTGCTTTAATGGTATGAACAGGAAGTCTGAGAAAGGAAGGACAGAAAGGAATAACAACAGGGAGAATTATATAAAGAAGCATGGTGAGAGAGACAGAAGCAAAGAAAATGAGGTTTTAGTCTGAGGGAAGGGAGTATTAGAAGAGAAATAGAGAATTATCAGGGACAGACCAAACATGGATGGGAGAATGGTGAATTATAAGTGATAAGATGCCATTTAGGGACATGAAAATATTGGCCAGCACTTCGAAAGTGATCTGAGAAGGATCTGAGATTGAAAATGCAAGATAAGAATCTGCATGAGTATGAAACGCTCCAAGTGAATCGTTAACGAATTGTCAGGCAGCTCTTGTCCGAAGAATATTACAATAATGTTCTGGCAATCATACGGAGATCCTTCTATAAACTGCAACGATCTACGCTCTATGTATCACTTCTGATAACCAGGAATTCCCAAACTACCAGGAACACTAGTATGTTGTTGCAAAGGACTACTGACAGTTTGACTAATCCCTGAAGCTCTTCCTGAGTTGAAAACCCTAGTAGTATCTCTTCGGTGCATTCGCAGCCATGCTGGCATTGAGGGGACAATTAGTCTGGATGTGGCCGAACTGGTGGCAAGACCAACACTGGGTGTTGAGTCCACGAGCACTGGTCTGCATGGTAGGGCTGGGAGCGCGAGGAATGGGAGCAAGGACAGGAGGGGGCAGAGGTGCTGGAGAAGGGGAACGGTTCGTAGAGAAGTATTGGCTCTGGTAGATCGGAGAGGGGACAGGAGCAGGGACAGGACTAGGAAGAGGCTGAGCAGGTTGATGCATCACGAACTGAGGGGGGGGAACAAACCAGCCAGGAGAAGGGGAGGGGGAGCGAGAACGGAATGAAAAACCGCGGTTGCTAGGTTGCTGGGAAGAGTTTTGCTTCTGTTCCTTCGTTGGCTTGGAGGCTTCCTCGCAGGCTTTACGTTTCTCTGCCAGAGACTTCTTTGCACGATTGGCCAGTGAAAGTGTTTCAGGATCTTTGGTGGACTCCTCACGCAAGCGACTCATCTCCATGGCCACATCGAAACCCTCAGACTCCCAATCCTCGAGAAACAGCATGCGTTCTGTGATAGCATGCTCACCTTCATCGCACTGATTCTTAAGTGCTGCGATTTGCTCTTCAGAGAGACTTGCCAGGGGAGAAGCTCCATCAAGATGTCCTTCGAAAGCTGCCTTTGCCTGAGACACTGCATGCTGTGCCTTCTCCAGAGTCTCCATCTGCTTCTTCACTTCGGGGTTCGTCACACGATCAGACTTCTTCGGCAGAGTCTTGGCTTGCAACTGAGCTTGAAGCATGGCAATCTGTTCCCTCTGCTGAGCCATATTCTGCTGTTGTTCCTTCGAGTGCTGCTGCATCTGATTGGACAGCTGTTCCATGAGGGCTTGACTGCGAAGAGAAGCCTGACGTGCTTCTTTCACTGCTTCAGCAGGGGAGTAAACCTCCTCCTCTTGCTCGTTGGTATCAGCACCACCTGCCATGCTCGAAGAGACGAAGAAGCTGCAGAGTTGAAACGAAGCTCAAATGAAAGCAATGTTGGTGAGGGAAAGCTGCATGCTCGCGAGAAAAGGAAGCAGATCGGCTAAAGAAGCAGGTTGAAAGTAGAAGACAAACTAAGAGTCGAAATGCTCGTACAGGGACGAAGAATGCTCGAAAGAAAAGAAGAAGATATCTTGGTGGGGAAGCAAGGAGGCGCCGTCCTCCTTGCGCTGTGTGAACGTGCTGAGCGACAGATTGAAGAAATTTGTCGCGAAGACGCGGCTTTAAAGCCGCGTATCGGGTTAGAGGTTCTCGTTAAGCGGAGAACCTCCGTTTTCGACTAACTACGAACGTCGAAAACTTTCAATTGTCTGGATGATGAGCGCACATCCAGGGCGGGCGCTACAGTAGGGGGTGAACTGATATTGGCTGAAGAGGGCAACTCAAAGAACTCCGACACCGGAAATCTCGTTCTAGCCAGGCAGGTGACAAGGTGAGGAACCCGTGAGGAAGACCTTTGGAAGCTTTCTCACAATCAATAATATTTTCCTCGTGCATGACAGGATGCACATCTCAGGCCAATATCCAATTCTTGTTAACATCTGCTCCGTTCCAGACGGTGATGTCCGTAGAAGAAGATATCTCTTTTCATCTTTTTGTGGTTGTCAAAAGACTTGAGGAGTTCCTGAGAGATCGCCTTCATCTGGCAAAGTTAGAGCTTAGTACAGCTTGTACTATTAACGAAATCCTTTCGAGATTGCTTCATTTCGCTGAAGTAGGTGCTTCACTGTGTATCATGCTCTGCCGTGGTTGTGAATGGAGATCTCAAGAACCTTCTCATTCAAGAATGTGTGCACAGTTGGCACAGAATATAAGCATGCAAGCTCTTTAGAAAGGTGACCTCCAAGCAACAGCAGGGACTGATGCTTTGATCAGAGGTCAATCAGTAAATCTGCCTTAAATTCTTAAATCTGCAACGTTATCAAACTTTTCCTTCCTTTCATACTCCTTGCTCCGCTGATCTTCAAGCTGAATGATATGCATGTATTCTTCTGTTCTTGAATGGTTAGGTACTCAATCTCGTCACTGTGTTGTGTGTCAGGTCTTTGGCACAACTGAAGTCTCTTCTCCAACCAGTGCCAGATCAACATCTTTAAACGAGAAAGCATGATGGATGTTCACAGATCCTCATCTTGTACCACGTACAATTGGGAAACTTCTCTGTCATATCACAGCCGTGCATCCCCCTTGAAGTAGCTAATCCAAGTTTTTGAATCCACAGGTACCAATTTTACCAGAAGAAAAGGGTCGCACGCTGAAGGCTAGCATTGAAACAGCCAAAGACATCTTAACAGCCTCAGGATTGCTTCAATCCTTAGAGACCTACAAAGCTGAAAATCGAGAGCGGTCCTAGCTAAAGTCCCCACAAGCGAGAGCAGTGCTGCAACAAAGGGGTACAGGCAGCTTGGGCGCTGGTTTGAAGCCCTTGCAGGCCTAGGAGGAAGCTGCCGCGAAGAGACACTCTTTCCAATCAGCTTCTTCTGAGCGAAGGTTCGGTTTCGTGGAGCTTCTAGCTTAGTCACTTTGCAGCTCTCTTAGGAGTCATCATGCCTTCTGTACCCAACGAGAGTTTAGCAGGAGGGCCCCAGAGAACCACAGAATGGGAGTCCCTCCTCCCAGAGTCTCAGCGAGGTTCTGCTCCCATCCTCCTGACTTTCGACGAGTTCGTGACCATCTTTCAGAAAGCGCTGGACACTGTCGGCGCCAGAGAGGTTCAGTTCTCCCCTTCACGGACGTCCGTCACGTTTCGGACAGATACACCCGAGGACCGATACGCAGTGCATATGGACGCGAACATCGCCAGCTTATACGGCAAAAGGAAGTTTCTGAACGCCGAGAACTGCCTCGCAGCATGCATACGCTGCCTTCAGAGCAGCATGCGTTACTCACAGCCGGCTGAGCCTAGAGAGTCGCCCCCGGAAAACCTCTTCCTGACCGTCAAGACGCATGAATTCATCCTCCTGCGGAACGAGGAGTTTCAGCGCCCGTCCCGCCCGCGCGCGGGACTCGACCGCGTCATGTTCCGCCCGTTCAGCCGGAATTCCGGCGAGCTGTACACCGGGCTGGTGGTCGGCCTGGAGAACGAAGGCTCCTACTCGGACATCTGGGTCCCTTCCCGGCAGCTTGACACGTGGAACGTGACGGAGGACGAAGCGTTCGACTTGGCGCTCAAGAACATCGACGTCATCACGCCCGAGAAGCTCAACTACTTTCGCATCGGTTCCTTGGAGGATCTGAAAACATCCGAGGAAGCGAGACGGAAGGATTTCATCTTCATTGAGCATATGCATTTCCACTCCCAGTTCAGCAACGGCACGCTCTCGGTGGTGTGCCGTGACAGCAGGGCACTCCCCCGCTTGCTTTTGCCCCGGGTGGTCGAACAGCTTGCCAACATTCTGAATTGCAATCCGGTGTCTCTGGTGATCGTTCCGTTTGAAGATGAGAACTTCGTGGTGGGAAACGCGGAAGACCGGATCTCGATGCTGCTGTTGGCGGTCCACCAGACGCTGCCGTTCTGCCAAGGGGACAACCCGCACGTGCAGCACAAGGTGTCGTGGAACCCGTTCAGAGTAAGCCATCCTGTTCGTTTATGCTCAGAAGACTTCTCGCGCTGTCCGTACGAATAACGTAAGCTTCGGATGACCGTTTTTGACGGAGCATCCACAGACGAGTTTGCACTTAAACAAGCCGTCGACTCTCCTGTCAAGAGTTTGCACTTTTTGACGTCTCTGTTTTCTACTTTCTTATGCATTGCCGTTCAGCGCGCTTCCATGATCATTCGAACAATTTCAACGGGTTCTGTCACGTTATTCTTGGAACTGACTCTAATCTGCTCCGCAATCGAGCCTAAGTCTAAAGCTAAGCTTAGCAAGTTTTCAAGCTGACTGCTTTCCATGCTGGGCTCAAAATGCATCGAACTAACGAAGCAAGCGACTCCCCGGAAGTATCAACACGGTTTGGCTCGCCGGTTGCGCGTTAAGGCGCGAAGCTGCAACTTCTCGCAGGTTGGCTTTTCTTGCAACTGAATTTCAATAGACTGCCTCGCACTCGGCAAATTTCCTCGCTTCGCGGCCTTCTTTTCGTACAGCCTGGCTAACCCTCTGTTCGTACTTTCAGCTTAGCAAGCTGCGCAACGAGGAAACTTTCCGGAGCCATACCTGGTAAACGGGAAAACGGCGGCCGCAACGCTCCTTTTCACGCAGCAAGTCGGTTTCGTTAGACGGCGTCGCAACTCACAGGGCCCCTAAAAATTCCGGCAAACCCTTGCTTTGAGTTCTCAGGTTACCAAGCTGCGTAACGAGAAGGGCCTGGTAGAGCTGGAACCGTACCTGGTAAACGGCGGCCGCAAAGAGGCTTTCCCTTGCAAGTCGGTTTCGTGAGACTTCCTCGCAACTCTCAGAATCTGAAGACAATCCAACTAACCCTTGGTTAGCGTTTTCAGTTTACCAAGCTGCGCAACGAGAAGGGCCTGGTGGAGCTGGAGCCGTACCTGGTGAATGGCGGCCGCTTCGCGGTGAAGCTGTGGGTCGGCGACAAGCAGACGGTCTTCTACCCCATGCCCCGCACCAAGGACGACATCGCCGCGGTGGAAGACCTCGTGTGGCGACCTTACAAAGCCAAATTCACCGTGCTGAGCGAGAGTACCTTCCTGAACGGACACTGCTGGCAGGTGCGCCTCGTTACAGTGTCCAGCTTGTTGATGAGCTTATTGTGCGCCTAAGCTTGCTGAATAGAGGTTTGCCGGCGAGGAGTCGGACAAATTGTCTTGCCACCGGTCCAGATGCTGCCCAGGCTGTCGCCCTAAAGCGAGGAGTACTGAGAAGTTGAGCGAGCAGTTTACCTCTCTGGCCTATAAAAATTCGGCAACCGATCGGTGCAATCGCGGTCAATCGAACGACAGGGTCTTCTAAACGGTGACCAATCCGCGGATCGCTTAGCTCAGGCACCTCTCTGATAATCTTAAAAGCTTTTGCGCTGTCAACCGGTTGCAAGCCGGTAGAGATACAATTACGATCGAGATGATCGATATTGTGCAGAGCGGACCGTTCGTCTCGAGCGGGGGGTTCAGACCACCAATTTCGTGGTAGGAGGCTCTCAGAAACCGACGATGAAAACGCAGATAATATCAGAATAAGACCTAAGAATTCCAACTTTTTCCTTTGAATCCGCCACCACCGTCCGCCATTCTTAGTCGACAAAAGTCGAAGCATGTTACCCTTGCTGTCTGCAGTGTCGCAAGCGCTTCGACAAGCTCGAGACGTGCGCAAACTGCAGAAAGGCCAAGTATTGTTCGCGGAGTGAGTGTTCGAAGTCGTGACCCGAAGTTGCGCTTCTGTCGTTCACTCTCTGCTACAAGATTGCCGGAATGTATGCTTCTGTAGTTTCGGCCCGAAAGGTTCAGCCGCGAGCGATGGAACATGAATCAACAAGTCGTAACGAGATTGATTTGAGATTGATAATAGTCCCTAGTAGCTTTGCATATGAGCACAGGAGGTGTGAATGATTATTGAAAGTCTACTGCTTCCGTTGAAGAAATTCAACTTTATTGTAACCGCTTTGCCTTCTGGGCTTTGCAGCGACACGTCAACTTTTGCATTGCCCTTCTGCCCGTTCGACCTGCCACCATCCTTACAGCGTTTTGCTTGTGGAAAAGGAATCATCGTCATCTCAATCCGCTTCAGCTGGTCGTCACTTGTTTCACAACTTCTTCGGATTCCAGGCGTTTATTCGTCTCACTTGCTCGATCTACTTGTAGATTGCCAGAAGAGGGCGTGGGGCGCGGGGCACAATGTCAACTGTGAAGAGCGGCGGCGCTTCTGGAAAGCAGCCAAGATGTGTCGGCCACCTAAGACCTCGAAGAAACCATGATCTTATCCGTGAAACGGTCCGCGACCTTGACCTCGTGTCCTAATCAACCAAGTCGATCATCAAACCTTCAAGTGCCCGTTAGTACCTATTGGAAAGGCCCTTTCAAAATCGGGATCTATCTATCATGTCACACTTTGCGTGTTCCTTTTCCATCCCAACCGATGCTACTAGAGTCCTCTCGAAGAACGGGGATGCTGACTTACCTGTTCAGACGACTTTTGACCCGCTATGATGTCGATGACATGAAGTCTCAGAAACGTCCTAAGTCCACGAACTTTCATGGATGACCTTATTGATGCATCATTTGCGTCTTCTGCGCGCATTCGATACATGGAAAGAGCACAAACTCGTGTTGACTGCAATATGCTGAATCTACAAACTCTGTTTGCCTTCTAATCCTACTATCCTGTTCGTCCAACTCTAACATATTGCGCCGGTCGCGCCTACAGCCAAACCCTCCTAGTAGTAAGCGAAGGAAGCTAGTACGCCGTACGCTACAAAGAGGAAAGCCAACATTATCGAAGTGCACTGAGAAGTTTTGAGAATCTTCATCGGTGTACGAGCCGCTGAGGCTTTGTAACTGGAGACCAAGCAGCAGCCGCAAGCTGCGTCGTGTTGCTTCATCGCTGTCACGTGACGGTCCCCTGACGGTCCTGTCCCTCTGCGCGACAAAGCCCTTTGGAGGCCTGGGAGGGCGGGTATTGAGAATAGGATCCAGAACTCGATCTCAGGTTCCTGATCTCAGGACATTCCGGATCTCAGGAAGCTAGCGTAGGGGGTTGAACTCTGCCGGTAATGCATCCCCTAGCTTGCCAGTAAACGCGTTTGCCAAATGTCCGGGGTGCCCGGTAGAAGCTACTCATTCGATCGCGACCGTCCGATATAGCGTTCAGGGCTCCAGATTGCGCAGATTACGCCCGGCGGAAATGGTACACGTGGCCTTGCAATCCTAGGCTGAGATCAGGAATTCTGGATCCTATTCTCCATACCCGCCCTCCCTGGGGGTGTATATGCCGTCCGATGAGCACCAATGGCTGAATGCGTCCAATTCGACGGTTTAGATGCCTTCTCGAGTTTGCAGATCCAGTATTCTTACCCTGCCAGGTGTCAACTTGAACAACAAGGTCCACTCGATGGACGGCTCGTTTGCATGACAGCTGTTGCTCAGGAAGTTGAAGTTTGCGGAATGCAAGCCAAATACTGGCAACTCTTGCTTTCACTAAGGGGTGCTTTCACTAAGATACAGGAGCCCCGGGCATCTCAACTAAAAACCCTAACCTAGTTAATTACCGCTCCGCACCCGTGCCCACCCTAACCCCCAAACCAACCCCACCCGTCCACCGGGTGCCTGTCTTAGTGAAAGCACCCCTTAGTGAAAGCAAGAGTTGCCAGAGTATGCAAGCTTGCTCTCTCAGTCTATGCATAGCGCTGCAGTTTGCACAGGACCCTTTCTTTTCAAATTGCAGGGCGTGTCCTCTCCTCTGTACTCTCCTGTTGGCAGGGAATTGCGGGCATTACGGAACCAGACATATCGCCTGACGGAAGAAACAGTCATCGATGGCGTCCACAGCAGCCTTGCGCTTATCGTGTTCCTGTCCTTCTTTGGCCTCGTCATCTACTATAACTACAGATCCACTTGCATTGTCCGAGCCTGCAAATTTCTTTGGGCATCGATCCAGCTTTTATCAACGCAGGAATCTCCAAATTCATAGGTCCACACCAAATGCGAGGCCGCACCAACCTTCTCTTACAAAGCAGGGATCAGGGCTGTCAATGTAAGTGCAATTGTCAGCAAGCACAACCTCTGCGTACACCAGAATAATAATCTCAGGGTACAATCTCTCAAGTGACCCCAAGTTCAACGTTCAATCGCTTACATTAGCAAAGTGTTTCTGTCGGACTGCAAACAGCGTTTTGCTTGGTAATTCTTGTGCCGGATTGGAATATATTTGACAAGCATGGTACACAGGAATCTAAGATTGACATGCAGATGATACTGACACTGAACCTAATTCTCTTAGAGCTCAAGGTCTCTGCAAGAGAGTGCTCTCTGACTTACTGCGTCAGCCGTCAGACATCTTAAGCAGGATTGGGTCTTGCTACATCCCTTACTTTCGGACTGCTCGTGCTACCACCAGCACCGCGTCCCGCTGCAATATGCCAAGTACGCGGTTGATTGCTGAACAATCAAAGTCTGTGGTCATCAACACCGTCCGAAACAAAAAAGATCTTTTCACAGTATATCTGTCCCAGTTCAGGCTGCCACCTTTTGGCTGCTAAGACTTCTGAGCATCATCATGGACTATGTACACCATAAACAGTCTTCTTTGAAGGCTTGTTGGTTTGGGACCCCGAAGTTCCGCTGTTTAGATATTACTTCTTCCTGGTACAGTGTATCCCTTAACGCCTTCCAATGGACTCTGGCACTCTCTTACTCACAGTATCCGCTTCCCTTCTAGGCGGAAGCATCCCCGCGGTGGTGCCCTGGCTGCAACTGCGGAGACTTCCACGGCGTTTGGCACCAAGACGTCGCTGAAGATCCTTCTAGCAAACCAAGTAAACTTTGGAGAACGTCATGCCGTCTTTGGGGCGGGGGATGCTCTCAAGAATTGGCAGGAGGCGGTTGAGATGCACTGGACAGATGGCGGCTGGGTGTTGGACGTTGGCGCCCTCCAGCCAGGGCAAAAGGTGAAGCCCTTTTTTATGCATCTTGGTGCACAGGAGGCAGCTGTGGTGCCTGGATTCTTGAATGTAATCAGGTTGGGGGATTGACCTGTGAGACTCCTATAAGGGGCATCACTTTGGCTTGTTTGCCGGGGGCCGCAATGGTCTGTTCAGGGTGCTCTCAAGTAAGTTTCCTCGAGTCACTTTGAGTTTAGATCGTTCTGACATCCTTCTTACCAGTCAATTCTGAAATCACAATCTTTGATCAAGCTTCAACAGAACAAGCGCCCGGTGGCATTATCCGTTTTCACAACATGACAGGGCCAGACAGATCAATGACTATGGGACTATGGAAGGAACACAAGGCCAGCCCAACCTCAGCAAGGGATTGCTATTCTATCTTTGAAGCTCTCTTTCTGGTGTGCTTCTTCTCAAAGCACGCTAATAAGGTTGCTTGGATCGAGCTTGTCAATTGTGAAAACTTACAGTCATTTGACACCATCCCTAGCTGTCCAAAATGCTGGCCTGCCCTCCAGCGTTCACTCGACATTGAGTCAGATTGAAGCAACAGCCTATGTACCAGTTCTGGATTTGTTCATCTGGCTGAAACCTCGAACCAACTCCTAACCATTTCGAATGGATTGACGATCCTCCTCTGCTGTTCAGCTTGAAGAAGCCTGCTCATCTCCCTTTGCTCTTCAGGTGGAGTTCAAGGCTGTGATCGTGCACGGAGACGGCGGGGTGCAGTGGGAAAACGGCCCTAATCGGATCATCCAACTGCCAGATGGGGGAGGCGCTTATTCCGTCACTCTGCACTGGGAGAAGACTGGGGAAGAGTTGCAGTTGCAAGGAGTGGATGGACAGATTGCCAACGGGGAGGCTGCGCAGGGGGCCCCAACAGAGGCACCAAAGGATGCGGGGAACGGCAGGGCCAGAAGTGAGAACGGGGCCAGTGAGGTCAGCGAGTTTGGGAGCAAGTGGCAGGGCAAGGACATTGCGTTCATGAGGAGCAATGAGCACTCAAGGTGAGCAAGCTCAGGTTCCGATGCCGTTCGATTAGACATATGTTCTTTTTCTGCTTTTTCAAGAGACTGCAGTTGTGAGTGAGTTCTGGATCCACGTTGTCAAGTGAGTGCGGCAGGCACTCGCTTTGAGTGGCTCGGACCTAAACGGATCGCTGATCCCTCAAAGCAGAGTGGCCCTGACGTTGGGGTATGCGAGACCGAATGCAGTTTCCCTTTTGCCTCAAGGAAAGAAGCGAAAAATGGGAGATGATTGATTTGAGCGGCCATCGTGTTGCAACGGATGAATCTTCAAATTTTTGCTTTGCAAAGACACACCTTTGAATACACACCCTATCTGCAATATTAGCCTTTCTTCTGCCTCAGGGAGAAAAGCGGCAAGGCGTAAACAAGCAAGTTGAGCGGGCCCTCTTATCTTGACGGGCGCACCAATTGGGAAGACTTGGAAAAAGACAATCCCGTTCTTTGTCTTGCCGCAAGGAGAGAAGCGGGAAAGGGTACGTGATTAACTTGAGCGGCTCCGCTTCATAGCATGCTTTCAAAGCTTTGCGTCCTATGCGTGCTGGTTCTCAAGTTAACCGCCGTGCTTGTTATTCTGTCCCAGGGAAAGAAGCGGGAAATGGGACACGAGCAATCTGAGCGGCCCCGCGGCGCGCCTGGTGGACGGCGACAAGCACGGCGGCAGCTGGTGGCAGAAGCTGGAGGTGGTGAAGGGCCTCGTGGTGCCGCCGGAGGTCGGGCAGAAGCCGGACTTCGACGCGCTGGTGAACGCCAACATCTACCTGCAATGGTAAGTATCTCGTAAATTTGACTTTGGAACACCCGGGAAACGAGCAATTCAGAGTTGAGTATTTTGGCTGAATAGGCCTCGCCGGACTTTGACGTGCTTGTCGACGTCAACATCTACCTGCAATGGTGAGTAGTTTGCAGGCTCGATGCTGAAATGCCCAGGAAACGAGCTATTCCAAGTAGAGTTTCCTGGCTGAAAAGGCCTCGCCGGACTTTGCGCAATGGTCAAATGCTAATATCTATCTACATTGGTGAGAAGTTATGGGGCTCCAGGGGTTGTAAACATGGAGGTATTTGGGTTGAGAATCTGTGAAGACTAGGTTAGCCCGAAATAAGCAAGTTGTATCGCTGCCAATGTTTAACTGCTTCGAGCATCTACGAGATTTGAGACAGAACGTGGATCGGATTCGTAGTGGTATACGTTTCTTGCAGGAAGTAAGCTACAGTGTGATACAACGGCTTGACTTTCGGTCGAAGACACCCTGTGCTCCAGTGACACAGAAAAGTCGTCGTATCTGGCAAAAAAAGGCAGCATGTTTTCCCTTGCAGCGCACTCTGAGAGCTTATGAGTATCTCTCCAAAAGACAGGGGATCCCTTCTCTGCAAAAGTTGTGCGACAGAGCGTCCGTCCTTATGCAGGATTAACACGGGCGCCATTTCGTGTGTTGAGAGCGGGGGCCACCACCGGCCCAACAAGCACGCCGAGATTGCGCGCAAGATCTTCCGGCAACTAGAGTGGGAGCTCGGTAGGAAGACCACAACGTCCGAGGAGGTAAGCGGGTCTCCCTTGTTTGTAAGCAGCGCAGTGTTTGTCGTCGACGGACGCTTCTCAGACGTACGGCGGTTGAATATCGTTCTACGAAGTAGGTTTGCATCTGAGCAATGTCGTCAAGACAGGGTTTTGCTTGGTCGAAGCGCATAGGCTGAAGGAAAGAACTCCGTGTATCATGTACAGCGTTTGGGCTTTAGCGGGACGCTGAACAATTCAGGCCTGTCTCTGAAGCAGGAAGCCATGCTTGTCGCAGGAGTTTTGAAGGCTCACTTTTGGGTAGCTTGGTTGCCAGACCCCACGTGTCCTGTTGGCCGAAGTTTTGTTGAAGTGGGCTATGGACGGCGCTTCGTTGGCCTACAAGTCTGATATTGTCTTGATCGTTTCGACCTTCCAGACATCGATCTTTCCAGCTTTTGAGACTCCTGCGCTTTTAGCAAACAAGGACACAGACGCGCTTCCGGGCGTTTGAACCAAGGCTTCAGAGAATGTTCCGTCGCTTCCTGCCAGATGCTGGTGCTCCGGCGGATCCAGCCCCGGCTGCCCTCCTTCTCGGAGCAGTTCACACAGTCCGTTCCGCTCACCCGGATCAGAGACATCGCCCACCGGAACGACATCCCGCACGACTTGAAGGTAAGTAAAGCCCGCAAGGAGGGAACGGAGAGTACTTATGCAAGGGTGGTAAAGCGACATTCGTGCTTATGACGCACGGTTCTACTTGGAGATGAAGTTTCGCTCTGACTCTTCTTTGTGAACGAGACTATCCAAAAAGGTTTCATCTCCTGGACAGCCCTTTCGTTCGTAGCGGCATCCCTCTCGGCAAGGAAGTATAAGTTCGTTCCACAATAAAGTGCTACCGAACCGCTCTTTGTCGTGCACATAGTTCGGCCTACGGCTCAGCGTTGTTGTTTAATGGCAGTGGATCGTAATGCCTATGTTAGCTCGCAAACGTCAGGCACATATCAAGGGACTACGCGCTGAAAACAAAACGCTGTCTGCTTGCAGCAAGAGATCAAGCACACGATCCAGAACAAGCTCCACCGCAACGCTGGCCCGGAGGACCTGGTTGCCACGGAAGCGATGCTGCAGCGGGTTTCAAAGGGCGACTACAGCCAGGATTTCGTGAAGGAGCTCCGGGTCTTCTACGGCGAGCTCAAGGACTTTTTCAATGCTGGCAGGTGGGCACGTCAAAATGTCGCCAGAACAGTCGTAACGCGAGTCGACCAGTTGCTGACGAGCAATACCTGGTTACGCAAATCGAATACAGAACGGTCTAGCCTAAACGGAGTAGCACAAAACGGACGCTCTGTTTGGTCGGCCTTTGAGCGTACGTCTTTGTTGCAATCTACTGTTAGGCACGCTGGGACAGGTAATTGTCGTTGCCAGTGACACCGATTTCCCTCTGCCTTTCCATCGATAATGCTGGGACTAACGAGTCTTCTTTGGTTTCTTTGTCGAACAAGCTTTTCACAATCGACGAACGATCCGATTTCGCTGCACACCATTCCGCTCACCACGCTCTCTTCATCGCTTCCCGCAGCTTGACCGAGCGCCTGGAGCAGATCCGCCACTCCCTCGACGACAGCGCCACGTCAGCACTCGACCACTTCCTCAGCCGCAAGCAGATCCTCGACGACTTCGACGCGCAGCAAAAGGCGGAGAAGCTTCCGGAGGTCCTCGTTGGCGCGCTGCACGCGCTTACGGGGCTGAGGGCGCAACTTCTGGGGGGCCTCGCGAGTGGGCTCAGGAACGATGCCCCGGACTCGTCGCTTGCGCAGCGCCAGAAGGTGGGTGGGGCTGTAGAGTTCCTTGAGTTGTGGGCTTCTCCTGGACTGCGGGCTTTCCTGCTCCGGTTATAGTGCTGGTCGAGGCACTGAAGAGAGATTCAGGAAGCGTGTGAAACCCGGTTCGTTGTCCTCACAGTATCTCAGGTGTTCCCTCTTTCTCTCGAGGACTTTAGCGCTTGCAAGCCGCAGGGTAAGACTATAACGGTCTCCCGATTACGCTGTTCTCAACGTAGCACTGATGCGCTGCTTGGAACTCCTCTGTGTTGTTCCTTGAATTTGGAAACACAATTGGTGCAACTATCTCAGCGACAGTTTGGATTAGTTTCATAAGCCATGCGGCTAAACGATTTGTTCGCTTGGGCTGCAGTGGCGATTGTCGGAGATCGGGCTCGAGGACTACAGCTTCGTCCTGCTGAGCCGCTTCGTGAACGCGGTTGAGGAGAAGGGAGGGCCTGCGGCGCTGGCGGAAGAGGCCAAGAAAAGTAAGGCCGTAGCGTTGTCAAAAAGCGGAATGTGGCTTTACATGTCAGAGACTGTGTGTTCTCCTGTTCCTTTCTCAAGGATTGGGCTGTTCAGAAGGGTATTCCTGCGGGCTCACAATCCTGAATTGTGCAGATGGACTTGTTTCCCTACATTTTGCCAAGCAAGCGTCTGATATATCTTTCTCTAGTCAGTATAAGTACTTTGCGGTTGGCGGGATAAGCTCTCCGAGTCGTTGCGAACGCATTCGACACCTCAGGCAAATGCCAACCCGTCAACTTCTCACTTTGCGCCACGGTCCTTGGATTCCGCTTACCGAGCCTCTCGGGCAGTATATCTTCTCACTTCTGACACACGCTAACACACACTAACCCAACCCTGACTGCTTCGTCCGCTTTCACTCAGCCCTGTGTCTCCTGCTACGTCTATAACCCAGTCCATAAACTTCGTACCGCAGGCAATGTCAAGCCCTTCACCTTTATGCTTGGCGCCACAGTACTTTGCATCCGCCAATTCCCCTCCAGCTGGCAGTATAACCTATCCAAATGAACCCAACCCTAACCCGCTTCTCTGCCCTGCGTCTCTTGTACTAACCCACTCCCGAAGCCCATTCCCCAGGCAACGTCCAGCCTTTTAACTTCCCACTCGGCGCAACAGTTCTTGGCATCCGCCACCGGGCCTCTCTGCCTGGCAGTAAAGACTCATTGTCCAACCTCAACCCAACTCAATCCGCTTCTCTACCCTATGTCCTACCTCCTTAGTCATGCTAACCCACTCCTATTTCTCAATTTTCAGGCAACGTCCAGCCCTTCAACTTCCCGCTCGGCGCGACGGTCCTCAGCATCCGCCAACTCGGCCCCTCCGGCTGGCAGTATAACCTCTCCATTCCAAATTAACCCAACCCTGACACGCTTCTCTGCCCTGTCTCTCTCCTTCTGACCCACTCCCAAACCTTGTCCTTCAGGCAACGTCCAGCCCTTCAACTTCCCGCTCGGCGCCACCGTTCTCGGCATCCGCCAACTCGGCGTCTCTGGCACAGTGTTGTCACTTTTATCCACGATGACCCAACCTTAAACTCTGCCATTCCCTCGGCACCTGCTTAACCACGCTAAACCACTCATAATCCCATTCCCCAGGCAACGGCCAGCCCTTGAACTTCCCGCTCAGCGCAACCCTGTCGAGTGACGGAGAAATCCCTTTATCCCATTTTAATCCAACTTGAACCCGCTCCTCTGCCCTCTCTCCTCCGCTAAACCATTCTAACCCACTCCTAAACCGTGTTCGCCAGGCAACGTCCAGCCCTTCAACTTCCCCCTCGGCGCGACCGTCCTCGGCATCCGCCATCTGGGCCTCTCCGGCTGGCAGACCGCCGAGTGCCTCGCGATCGAGAACGAGCTTCACGCGTGGCAGCATGCGGGGATCGTCGACCGGGAAGGCCCTGTCAAGGACGTCAAGACGTGGGCGCTCAGGCTGAAGGCGACGCTGGACAGGGCCCGCCGGCTCGCGGAGTCGTACTCGGAGGCGTTGTTGGAGATCTATCCGGAGCGGAGCCTGAAGCTGGGGGACGCGCTTGGGGTGCCGGAGAATTCGGTGAGTGGGGTGAAGACCGTTTGCGGAGCCTTGAGTACAGGCTCAAGATCTGCGTCTGACGTTTTCGCTCGACTTTGAGGGCTCGTGTGCGGGGACGGGCGCAGCTCACTTATCAATCGAAGGAAGCGCTTCGGAGTTGTGGGCCCTTTGCTTGATTGAAACTACTACAGAAAGGCGGCCGGTAACTCTCATCAAGCTGTCAACACTTCCTGTGAACTGCCCCTACTCCATTTGGCATAAACATAGCAACAGGTGCTGTCTGCTCGTTTTTAGTGTTCTGAGGGCCATTTTCTCTTTCAAAAACAGGTTCGGACGTTCACCGAGGCCGAGATCCGGGCGTCCGTCGTGTTCCAGCTGTCCAAGCTGTGCAGCCTGCTGCTCAAGGCGCTGCGTGACGTCATCGGAGGGGGTGGCTGGGACGCCCTTGTCTCGGGCAGTGCGGTGGGCACTTTGGTGTCGGTGGACAGGATCGAGCCCGGCGCGCTGACGTCAGCAGCGAAGGGCGGCCCGCTGATCCTGCTCGTGAAGGAGGCGTCGGGTGACGAGGAGGTGAAGGCGGCAGGCGAGGAGGTCAAGGGCGTGGTGCTGTGCCAGGTGAGAAAACGACCGACAGTGAAACTTCATCATCATCGTAAAGATTCATAATGATGCTGCCGTTGAGCCCCGGGCTTGCATTACTTAGAGCCAAGGATCTCCGTCTTCGACCCCGTTCTCTGAAGGTTTCTTTCAGCCAGCAACAGCAGCGACTAAGCTTACCGCTTTCTGTTTGACCGTGATTGATTGAAAATCCTCGTGTTACTAGCGGCAGTCCAGAGAAAGCCGCTCAGACTTCGCACTTCAGTTGTTGTCCTCGTCTGTCTGTGTTTGAGGGAGTTGTTGATCGTCCCTCGTCTAATGCCTTAGTCGCATTTGGTTCGGTGCTGACGCACTTGACTTGGTCGCATCTGGTTCGGTGCAGACGTGCTTGACCCGCCCATTGCCTTCCGGGCCCAAAGATCATTCCACACTGTGATTGTTAAATCTAAATTGGTGATCACATAAATGCAGGAGTTGCCACACTTGTCTCATCTGGGCGTGCGCGCGCGGCAAGAAGGCGTCGTCTTCGTGACTGCTGAGGACGAAGAAAAGGTGCGGGACCTGCGCGGGCTGGAGGGGAAGCGGGTCAAGATTGACGCCAGCGCGGAGGGCGTGACTGTCGAACCATTTGACGGGGAAGAGGCAGTGTCAAGCAATAACGGTCAGGACTCTGCCAAACCGCATGGTGATAAAGCAGCTTCGCATCAAGGCTCTTGGCCGTGTGCGGAGAAAATGTATCAGAATCCAGTCTTCTGCTCTCAATTGAAGACTGGCAGGTCGTTTCTTGTCTCCGCTGCCAGGCAACTTGTCGAGGGGTCAGACAACACTAAAGCTGCAAAATTCCCGAGCACGCGGCAGGACCTGTTCACCGTCGGTGTCCTTGTCAATCAGGAGAACACAAGCGTCCAAATAACGAAGACCGAAGGCCCTGTTCTCAGAGTTGCCTCCTGCTTTCAGGCGCAGCATCAGCCGCCGGAGTGCCGGGCAAGGCCTCCTCAGCCGGCAAGATCAAGTACAGCCCGGGAGGAACGTTCATCGAGTTGGCAGATACGACCGTTGAGACCGGCGGGGCGAAAGCAGCAGCGTGCGGCGAGATTGCCGGCTTGGCGAAAAGCTCTACTGAAGGTGAGAGGCTGTGGTCGGAACTCAATGTAGTGTTTTGACGCTGGAGGGTTTTGCATTGCTCGAATGCTGCTTGGGTTGTCAAGCTAGCTAAAGGCAAGTTAAAGGGCGCAGCTTCCGTCTCCGAATTCTCCCCTCCCGGCTGGCCTTGCGAGTGTAGGGACGGCCCTGTCGTTTGAATTCCTTCCCAGTTTGTGCTGCTTACTTCATGCACGCTTTTGCTGCCTCGACCTCTGAGCGGCACTGCCGTTTGCTAGACTTCATCGAGGGTATCTCACCGAAAGATTGTCGATCTCAGAGAATAGTAAATAAGCAGTCGGTAATGCTGAGAATCCGACTAGTTACCTATTGAGCTTGCGCCCTTCTGCGTAATATCTCCATTTCCTCTCTCTTTCCTCTCCCAAGATCTATTCCCGATGTGCCCCTCCGTTTCATCCCATAACTTTAAGCTTGAAACCTCGTGCAGTCAAGAGCTCCTCAGGCGTTCCGGCCACGTTCAAGTCGCCCACCGGGGGCCTCATCCCTTTCGGCGCTTTGGAAGCCGCGCTTGACGCAAGCAAAAGCCGGGCGAAGTTCAACGAACTGGTCAAGAAGACGGAAACGGCGAAAGTGGAGGGCGGGGAACTAGACGCGGTCTGCAATGAGCTGCGGGCGCTGATCGAAGCACAGCGACTGCCGGAGAAAGTGATCCAGCGAGTCGGGAAGGCCTTCTCGGCAGGTAAGGGGTGAAGCTTTTCATATCCTAATCGTCACTGACGAAGGAACTTGAAGCTCTTCTTTGAGCACGTGGGCGAAGTGTGATCTTGAGCACGAGTGTTGGAAATATAAGAATATGTCAACGTTCAAGAAGCTTTTTTCAGAGACTGTAAAAGTGAGCCCAGCCTGGTGTCCAAAATGCCTGAATTCGTGAGCGGTGCCCCCCACTTTTCTTATACTTCAACTCGAAACTAGTCCGTGGTCCTTTGCGCACTTTCTTCTTTCGTGACCTTCGTCGTGTAAGAGTTCAAGAGTGGCCCGTGCAACTTTGCGTATTTTCCTCTCTGTTCCTTCGCGCACCTCCTTTGTTCTTCTTCGACAAAGAAGTTTCGCGTTTCAATATTGTGACCTTTGAACCTCTTGAAAATTCTTGTCTGCAGATGCGCGGCTTATTGTGCGCTCCAGTGCCAACGTGGAGGACCTTGCTGGCATGTCCGGAGCCGGGCTGTATGACTCCATCCCCAACGTCAAGGCGTCCGAACCAGAGGAGTTTGCAGAGGCCGTCTCAAAGGTCAGTTACCGAGACTGGTTCTAAGGAGCTGTCTCGTTTGTTCAAGTGGCCGTCTTCAAAGAGAGTTGTTTGCACATGTGATTTCGTCCGCTCCAGTATCAGCCCAGATCATGTGCACACCTTTTTGCCCGGATCAACTCAAGGATTGGGCAAGGCAAAGCTTCCTTGAAATGCTCCATACCCTTGATAGGACGCTGTCCATTTTGTGGATCTCTAATATAGAGTCGTTTCCTTGTATTCAAATAGCAGCAGGCCGAGCGCAAGTCGCTCCTTCCGATAGTGCTATGTTTCTGCTGCAATTCAAAGCCGCATGTTTCCAAGACATACCCCCTTGATCCGTTTCAATACGCCAATATCTTACATTATACTCACACCCTATTCCTCAGGTGTGGGCGTCCCTGTTCACGCGGCGTGCGGTGCTGAGCCGACGCGTTGCGGGCGTCCCCCAAAAGGAGGCGGCGATGGCCATCCTGGTGCAAGAGCTCTTGGCGCCGTCGCTCAGCTTCGTTCTGCACACCGTCAGGTGGGCAGAATTCAGACCCAATCGATGCAATGAATAGCAAGCCCAGTGAACAGCAAGGGACGGGTGGGGTTGCTTAAAGGGTTGTGGGTTCGATTCAAACTTACTCGATGCCGTGAACAGCAAAGGGACGGGTGGGGTTGCTTAAAGGACTATGGTGGGTTCAAATTCAGCGCGCATGAAGCTTTGCTTTAGGGTTTTTTTGAAGATCGAGAAGCTTGTATTTCCCTGGGCTTCCTTTCTACTGGATCGAGAAAAGACTGTTTGCGTCCATCGGGCATGGGAGGACCGTCCTCCTTACAGCCCGAAACTTTCTAGCCGGATCTGATCGCCCCTTAGAAAGGGGTCAACCACTCTTTTTTCACCTTTGTCGTTCATGTAGCAGGTGTAGCGCTTTCTGGTCGGTATGCAGCTTGTTCATACCCGCAACAAGCTGGTTTGGGCAGGCTGCAAACCCGTATCCATAATGCAGAAAGGTCGGCCATCTGTTTGGTGACGCCCATATTACGTGGATCTTCGTGAACACCCGTAAGATCGGCGGCAGTAAGAACATAGATTGCACCTTTGAACAATTGTCGGCCTTCAAAAATTCTTGCAGCCTGTCGGATATTGATTGGAAACGCAACATTCCTCGTTGGCGCTCTTGCAGCCCCGCAATCAGTTACTAGGCACGCAGTAACTCAGCGCCCCCTGGGAAGTAAGCAGCCCTTATTCTCCGCCGTTCTGCCCCCCCCGCAACTCACAATCAGGCGCAGCGTCTTCTGACGTCTCCCTCTCGTCTTGCAGCCCGGTTGACGGCAATCGGGACATCGTCCAGGCGGAAATTGCCCTGGGTCTTGGCGAGACGCTGGCCTCCGGCACTCGGGGCACGCCTTGGAGGCTCGCCGCAAGCAAGTCCAGCAAGACGGTCGACACGCTGGCGTTCGCCAACTTCAGCGAGAAGCTGGTCGTGGCGGGGGGCAAGGCGGACGGGAGCATGACGCGGGAGGTCGCTGACTACAGCAAAGTGGTAAGGGCAGCGCGGAGCATCTTACCAATTGGTTTTAAATAGATTGTCCGATTGCAGTCGCCAGGATTGTGGGAGTCGCGCCGAGTATTGGAGAAGTATCTTGTCTTGTTGGGGTGCTGACTCACCTCTGATACTGCTTTCAAAGTGTTCATTCACCAGTGCACAGGAATCTTGACTGGAAGGAAAGACTAGGCAAGTCCGTCCCGCATACATGAAGGAGGTTTGAAGCGAGTTTTGTTTCAGGTGTTGATTACGGAGGAGCGCAAAGGTAGGCTTAGACGGGCGTGGCTCGGGAGGGAAAGACATTGGTTTGAGCTCCTTCAGGTCCTGCTTCAGCTTAGAAGTATTTTGATATGTAGCCGCTCTTTGAAAGTTGGCAAGCAGCAATTGTTGATTTTGATCATTGGCTGCTCCGATCGGCACAGCATGCTTCTTCCTGACTGATTGAATTATTGCACAGGCCTTGACAAAGGACGCCGAGGAGCGGATACGTCTGGGACAGAGGTTAGCGTCCATTGGGGCGTACTTAGAGAAGAGCCTCGGAGCGCCGCAGGACGTTGAGGGTGCCGTTGTTGGGGGAGACGTGTATATTGTGCAGTCAAGGCCCCAACCTTTGTAGAGCTTGCAAGTTCAGCGTGATTTTTGTTCGCACTCTATCGAACATTTCAGAGGTACTCTTTGGCAATAAGATCGGAAGACTGAGGTAACCTGACGGTCACATGGCAATAACCAGATCCTGCTTGTTCGGTTTTCAGTTGCTGTTGCAGGCAGTGTGAACAGTGAACGGAGAAAGTAACTCGACCAGCACGTTAGTATTTGATAGATATGGGACCTTTTGAGAATGTGTTGAATCTGTGCCTCCATATGATGCACAACACACCGGGCCCCAGCCATCACCAGCCGGCGGCTGCCAGCCGGGCGTTGGGCGGCCGCCAGGCGTCAAGATACCATGTGGCATGCAAAATATGAAGCATTGAGCCTGGTCGGTGGGGTCGTATTCAAAGCCTGGCAGTATATATTGAACTTGAACGCAGCTAGTTCGTGAACCAGATGTATATTTGCAGCGCCCGCGCCGCCTGGCTGATTGAGGCCGCAGAATTGGCTGCTCCCAGTGAAAGTCAACGTACCGTACTCAGCCCCCATCCTACTGAGCACAATTCTTCGAAGGCCTCAAGGTCCTTAAATTGGTCATGATTCTCTCCCTTGCAATGCAAGGAGGTTGATGGAGACCTACAACGAAAGCAGCATGCAAACTGCACTCTCGCCATGAAAACTGAGCGGAGGAACATCAGGTGCAAGGCTTGGGGCTGGGCGCTTTGCGAGAGTGTATACATATGTGGTTGAGAAGGTTGCACAGAAGGTCAGTTGCGCTCGAAAGAACCGCAAATCCAAACTGCTGTCCTGACCTATTCGAGTATTATGAAGCATTGAAGCGCATCCACCCTGGCGGAGCTTGCAGCTCCTCCTTCTCCATTACATCAGTATCACTTGTCTCGATCGCCGCCTGCTCAGACTGCCTCCAGTATAATCGAATTCCACTGATCTTTTATCATTACGCCCTATCCGTTCGAAGTGCTCCACCAGCATTTCGGACTCCACAAGACGAGCTCGGTCGATCCGAGTCCCACACGTCTTCAAGGGCCATCGTTATCCAACATGATACATCTTGAGCATCTCGAGGTAAAATAACTGCGCTTTCAGGCTTGCATATAAGGTCCGCTTGTTGCTTCGAATCCCAAGAACGAACATTGTCCTGAATGAATCTCGAGAGTTACAGAACAGTTTCCTATATGAGAGTTACTTGCTGATGATCATGCACAATAAAACTTGTGGATATTAATATAGCACTGAGGACGACAGAAACCTTATCATACCACCAAAACACCCCCAATGAGCAAAGAACTCCTGAACGAACAACCGTCACGCAAAACAACCTAACTGTGTAACCAAACAACACTGAACGAATGTTTCCACCATGGGGTCCAAGTATGCTACTCATCCACGAAAACCACCTTACGATCACTAGCTTATCTCTAGCTTTTCAAACGGCTAAGCACTGTAAGAGTGTCGACATCTGTCCATCTGGACAAATGGACACGGATTGTTTGCAACCAAGTCAGGTAAAAAAGCAGCCGAACCCCGTGAAGCTTGATCATCTTGGTGTAACAAATTTCGAAGCTAACAACACTGTGCTCTTATGAGACGGACGCACTCCAGACGAAGAGCTCAGGCTATCAAGGTACGCTGACGATCCCTCCGACTTCCACACGTCTTCTTCTGTAAAACCCGAGTCAACCGTACTACCAATGCCAGCTCAAGCTGCGAGCCGCCCACACCTGTTATGTCTGTCGACCTGTCTGTCCACAGGCAAGCCAGCGCGACGTGGATATACTCAGCGCGCCTCCTCCGCATTGCAGTCATGCCCGAGAGCCGGGTCGACCATTTCCAGAATTCTCCCCTCCCTAACCATATCCGTCGCCACTTTGAGGTGCCGCTCCACCACTCCGCTCTCGGGTTTGCGTACCGCTGGGCGCCCGCTGTTCAGCTCCAACGATAGCATACCAAAGCTATACACGTCACATCTCAGTACACAAAGATGGCTTGAACAGCTAGGAGAAAAGCAGCTCCAGCAACAACCCCACCAACAATAGGTCCAACTGGAGGGGATGCTGACGTCGATGGCTCAGGGAATGGTCTACATGGTCTGCCGACGAAATTACAATTCTCGCAGCACAACTCCGGGTTTCCAGGATAGAAACTCGTGTTGTAGTACTGGTATTTGTACAGCAGACTTGGAGGTATTGGCCCGGAGAGGCTGTTGTTTTGAAGGTCCAGGGACGCATATGGCAGGAAGCCGAGCTCGGCGGGAATTGTGCCGGAGAGGTTATTGTTGGAGAGACCTAGACGGGAAAGGTAGGTCAGGGTGCCAAGCTCGCGGGGGATGGGGCCGGAGAGGTTGTTCTTGTCGATTTCGAGATATACAAGGTTGGTCAGGTTGCCGAGCTCGGGGGGAATGGGGCCGGAGAGGTTGTTCATGTCGATTTCGAGATTATTAAGGTTGGTCAGGTTGCCGAGCTCGGGGGGATGGGGCCGGAGATGTTGCTCATGTCGATTTCGAGATTTTCAAGATTGGTCAGGTTGCCGAGCTCGGGGGGGATGGGGCCCGAGAGGCTGTTGTTGCTCAGGAAGAGATATTTGGTCAAGGCTGCCAAACTCAGGAGGGATGGGACCAGAAAGGTTGTTGTCTTGGAGGACGAGCTCGATAAGTCTGGTCAGCCTGCCGAGCTCCGGGGGGATGGGCCCGGAGAGGCTATTGTTTTGAAGTTCCAAGTAGGCAAGGCTGGTCATGTTGCCGGGCTCGGGAGGGATGGGTCCGGAGAGATTGTTGGAGTAGAGGAACAAATGGGTAAGGTTGGTGAGGCTGCCGAGCTCCGGGGGGAGGGGACCTGACAGTCCCCTAGAGCTAAGGAAGATACTGGTTTGATTCCAAAGGGGGCCCTCGACCAGACTGTCGATCTGCTCAATAGTCAACGAGTGGGCGACACTTATGAGCCGGCACCCAAAGAGGGTCACCAGGATCAGCACCCGCGCACACGTGGTCCGTGGAACCATGGCCATGGACGTGTGGCTCAAAGAATCAGGGGTCAACCTACAAAACAAAGGCACTGCCGGTCAAAGTGGGGGTTGCTTGGTTGTCAATAGTTGGAGGATGTTTTTGTAAAAGGTTTCTTACCGCACTCAGGGCATTGTAAAGGTTTCCCTGTTGGCTTCCATATTGGCTTGCACTATGTTAATGGATACTTCTGTCAGAAGGTTTGCAAATACAATGTTAAGTTGCGACTCTGGCACCATACAACCCTGAAAAGGGGGAGTCACACAAAAGACCCTCCCCTCTGCCCTGCCAGAGCTTCCGAGTCCGTCTCCTACTTTTGCTCATTGTGCCTCTTCCAACACAGGTGCACTCAGCATGGAAAGCATCACAACAGCAACCAATGTAGGCAACATGCGACAGCAATACGGAGTTCCGAGCTGACAGTATAAGCGGCAAAATGTAAAAAGTCACCTTTCAGGTTCCTGCACCAACCAACTTCAGTTCAGTCCTGCGCTGCTGCCTTTGATGGGAGAGGGGCCCGACTGAGCTTAGAAATGTTAGAAATGTGCAAGTTGTCACTGAGCTTGCACATTTCTAACCAAGGTCAGCACTGTAGTGCTTTTCCACATCTACTGCAGAACCCTTCTTAGTAACAAACAGTTCCAAAGCAGTTTTACAAGTTCTCGGAATCGGCGAGGGCGTCTCTCCGTGCGTTTGACCGAACACGACCTTCCTGCCAGGCAATACGGAATCCCTCTCCGACACGAAAACAAACTTGACCTTGAAATTCTGGGTCGTTTTCGACACTTCTGGTATTGCCAAGTGTCGAATAGTTCCAAGCGCCTGCGCGCTTTCTTGACCTGCCCGTTAATCTCGGGGTAAAGCACGCCCCGGCCGGCTCCAGGCTGCCGGGCAGAAAGGGCAATACCTATTCCCCTTCTTTTCAAACGCTCATGCTCCATGCATGGAGCAAGGTGAGTCTGTGGCGCCTCAAAAGCTCCCCCCCCCCTCCGACACCCCCCGGTCCCCGCCCCCCAAATCGCGCGCTTAATTAACGTCAGGAGATATGCCCAAAAAAACCCAATTACATTTTGGAGCCGTGACACAA